TACAACAGCAGTCACTTCACAATGCGCTTCTAAGCCTGTACAATGAAGATGCCACCTTGCATTTCTCAGAATGGATCCAGAGAAACAATGCCCTGTGAAAACAGAGACCTGGTGGAACAGAAGAAGCCTGGTAGGCAGTGTGTTTTGGTGGGGGCACAATGAGGTAAGTTATCTCACCCAGATGAAATGGAAAATTAAAATTAAGAAAATCCTGAGCAAGTCTAAGGATAGCTGTTTGGGATAAAACAGCAAACAGGGTGGAGTAGTAGATAAGGCCTCTAACTCCCTGATAATCTGCACTAGAGAGACAACAAAGAACAAGGCAACTGCTATATTTGAGAACCACAAGGGGAAGGGCAAGGGAAGACTTGCAAAGCAGTGCAAAGGATGGCATTGGGATTCTAGAGGGAGAGCTCAGATGGCTTGGAGGTTTCAGAATACCAGAAGGCCTATCAAGTTTTTACTACTTGGTTGCTAACAGTACCTAGAGGAAGAATATTTTTATATGTCTCTTTAAAATTGGGAATCAATAGTAAGCTTTGAACAAACAACCAAACCTTGACCACATTCTGCAAGAGAGAGGAGGTAGATTGACTTGCAGAGAAGACAAGAGATGTGTAGAGTCACTCTTACCCTAAGTCACAAATTCTCTGTTCAGACTCTTGGGCCATGTCTTAAGATCCATTTTTGCCCAGCTGCATATTTTGAGTTAAAAGAGCCCAAGAAGCAATCTGGTTTAGTAGAATGAAAGCATCCAAACATAGCAGGGCTGGTCCTCTCACACTTCTCATGCATCTTCCTCTTAGTTTGTCAAAAGCCAGCTTTTGCACCAAACAACTGGCTGTACAGAAGATAACAAATAAGCACTCAAGCAGAACTTGGAGCAAGTAAAATTCAGACCTAATCCTTCAGATTTATCATGCTGTCTCATGCAGCACCTGTTAAGATAGCCCACAGAGAACAGATGACCTACTACAGTTTTTCTCTTCCAGTTTAAAGAGGATTTCCTATAATATTTACTTTGCTTAATTTACATGAAATTTGCTTTGTGACTGCAAGAAAGAAATCTTCAGTTTCAGTACAACATCTGAACCAAGTGATGTGCACGAGCCTTCGTATGCCAGATGAGCCTGAGCATTGATGCACTGCTGCTGTTTGACCCTTTGAAAAGGAGCCAACATCTAGAACTTCTAAGTTGTGTTATATTAAAAAGGTTTATCAAATTGCTCCCTTTTTAACAAAGGCCAGAAGTTAAATGGCTTTTCTCCTCATTCACTGCAAACCCAGTTAATGAATGGTTAATATTATGATACCATTAGAAAGACCTGCTAGGGAAAGGCACCTGTTCTGAAATAGTGGTCTTGATTTGAAGGTCATTTAGAAGTGGTTAAATAGGGCACATCCCCTTTCCAATCACCTTCTGTGACACTCCTATTTCTAATGGTGGGCCTACTTATGTGAACAACAGCCCCAGTGCATGGGTTATGATATAACCTCATTAATTGATGTATTATGTATCCTAGCTGGAATGGGAAAAATAAACATTCATTGCCAACCCCAATTTGCAGTATATTAATATATGGCTATCCTTTTCATACTCTTTGTGTGACTGGGATTCAGATATTCTCCCAGCTCGACTCTGACAGTGTTCAACACATGCAGAATGAATTACAGGCAGGTATTTTTGAAGCATGTCTCACTACCAAGTCATTATAAGACAACAAAAAAAATGAAACTTGAATAAAACCCCCAAATACTTGTAAAGCATGGCTCCCCTCAAAAGTGGCTGGGTTTTGCCCACAGCTGTGCTCTCAGGGCTGTATAATCTGTGTTCTTATTCTTATAAGGGAGGACTACAGCACTGAATTGTTACGAATACATAGCTGCTTCTGGGTGAACATAGGAGTCTACTCAGCCATTAGCCACAGTGGCTTTTGAAGAAAAAAGGAAAGGTTGTTATGTAGCTTTTTACACTGGTAAGATTAATCTGTTAAGAGACCTAACTGCAATGACAAAGAATGGCTAAAAACCTATCACAGGACACTGCTTCTTGACGAACCTCTCCAGCTTAGCTCCTAGAAAAAAGTTGGTATAGCAGAGGTAAGGGTGTCAAGGAAAGGATGACCTGAGGGTGTCTCATATGTTTGGAAGTTTCAGGCCTGCTTTAATGTTGATCTAAAAGAGTGAGTATCTGTAAATAGAGTGGTGTTGGGACCCACACAGTCAGGCGTGTCTGACTAGGTATGAGAAATCAAAGACAGTATCAGTCCCAACCCATGTGGGATGGGGAATGTTTTAGGAAGAAGAGACTGAATCTGGGATCACTGACTTCCTGTTGAGAACTCTGCCCAGTGCTCCATGCTGGCAGCCTCTCAGAGGAGCAGTGAATCTTGGACCGCAATAAATGGAGCAAAAAGTGTTAATTAAACAGCTCTAAGAGATTGTTCTCTGTGGTCAGGTCTGCTGAAAAAAAAAAAGTTGTTCTAGTTTAATACATTTACATGGCAGTTTAAAAGGACAGCTTAAACACATATACAATTTCAGTTAAGATGAGCTTAAGGTGCTTCTTTTCAATTAAAAGAGCTCAAGAGCTATAGCAAAAACATATAGATGAGTTTAGGCAGCTTGAGTTCTGCAAAATGACTGGAATTCATTTCTGAAACTTGGTTTCTTTTCTATTCACATCATTAATGATGCCATAAGGCAAAACAGATTGCCAAAAAATAAAATCCAGTTTAACTAAGATACTTTATACTAAGTAGATCTATACAACATGTAGCACAAGACTCACAGACCAGTGAAGAGGAAAGCTCACATTTACAAAATAGTTTGTTCTGTAATTCTCTTCCCCTTTATTGAGCCAGCAAATCTCAGTCGCTATAGTAAGACGCTTTTGGATGCGTTGGCAAAATTACATTAGCAATATTCTAAATATTGGGAAGGTAGACCAGGTTAAAAATATACCATTTATCCCAGTGCCAGCTGGCTGAGCCGCTGGACCTTCTTTCCAACAGAAGGAAGAAAATACTACACACATTCAATACAATTTAGTACTCAACTGAAATCTACCATGGTTTGCTGAATTTGTGAAGAAAATGCAGTATGAAATAGAACAATTTTCTGTAAATATGGGCCACCAAATACTTGAACATTCCTTGGGTCACCCTTGAAGTTTTGCTAACTACTTTAAACAGCTTTATGTACAGTCAGAGATTACCCTCATTTAACTTAATGGGTACTGAGAAAAAAAAAAACAACCTTTGGAAACATTTTTCTTTGCTAGAAATCAGAACAGCCACATACAGCCCAGTACCATCATCCCCAGCATGAAGCTCTTACCAGCAAGCTAAAAAAAGTCTTGCAGAGGCAAAAAGGATACATATCCACAAAGTACAGAAGAATCTAGTCGAAACACTCCCTCAGAGACATTCAGACCATGCTGCTTAGAGCCCCACTCTCAGACAGTGCTTCTGTGAGGATTTCAGTGGCATCAGCCCATTTCAAAGCAGGACTAACAGGACTAACCTAGCTGTGACCAACTGGTGAATCCAAATAAGATTGCTATAATATGCTGCTAAACTCTGGTGGTGATGACTACACCACAGTGTTGTTTTCTGGATGCCCACTGAACTTATAAAAAATGGAATACGCTTTCATGTCTAGTGCATTTATATATGCTATATATATGATATATCACCGCAGTATATATCATATATAGAGAGAATAGAATATATTACATATCTATAGAAAATCACATGCACATTTCTTGCAGGCAACTGACAAAGAAAGAATTCTTATTCTGCAATATTTCAAATTTGGTAGACTGAGTTTTAGCCCTGGACAGACCTAGTGTAAGATCCTTTCATAATGTATTTTCTGACAAAGAGTTTTAGAACAGTGGTGCCGAATTTGCCATGGTTAGAACTTTGGTATGACTTGAGAAGTACCATTTGCATTGCTGTCCAAGTAGGAACATAGTTCTTGCTGCTTGGCTGCTTCTGTTAACTACTATGGCTAAATCACTGAATTTACTTTGGAAAAGACAACATACTGGCAAGTACAAGTGCCTTATGAGGACAATTAGAAAACAAACTACGCTGCAGCGTAATGAGAGAATTGAGCTCATGTGTTTGAAAAGGAAAGATTGTATTGTTCTGACACTACAGGCCTGACTCTCCTCTTATTGCACAAAGTTTAGACTGGCATACTCTGTTGACTCCTGCTGGCTCACCTGTGATTTAGTCTACTGGCAGCAACAGAGGAATCAGGTTGTGTATTTGCTACACTTGACATTCACCCACATAAAGGCAGTTTTAACAATTCTGTACAAGAGACTGGAACCCAAGATCTAGTATTTTGCTGAGACTGGTAACGGAACTGTGTATGGGAATATTTGGATAGTAAGACCCAAGGAGGAATGAAGTCGCATGGCAAGCTTCTTCCTCAGTATCCAAATATCAGATTTGTAGCTTTAAATATATCCTGAAATATAACAAAAGTGCAAGAGTAGTTTAAATTTAAATACAGTGTATACCTTATTAGTTAACAGTTTGCTAAACAAGATGTAAAATACACATATGTGTAAAAGTTTATACTATGATCTGCAGTGCCATGCTATGCGTAAGTGTCAAAGTTTGGCATTTCACTTGCAACTCATGCTATGTTTCTTTGGTTTTCACCCCTGCTGTTAAGTGGAAGAGCACCTGCTTTAGCTTGTAGTCATGGGGCACTTTAGAGAACACTAACATTTGATACTGGGGATCTGTGCTCTTGGTGCAGAAATCCCATTAATATTACTAGGAAAGCTAAGGACACAGGGGAGAACATACCTCATTCAGATTATTGTACAGTTCTGCAGTCTCTTACGTGAGGCCAATACTTTCAACTAAATAGCCCATAATAAAGCTCGGAATCGAATATTTTCTTTTGTTTGTTACCAGTAATGCCTATAATACCGGGCTCCCATAGCTGAGCAAGATTCATACTGTTACAGTCACATGTATATCCACATTCAACTTCCTTTTATTAGAAGTATAATACTGCACTTTATATCACAAATGTATAAAAATATGGCAGATAGTGTCATAACAATACTTTTCTTTTAAATGAATATATTTAAAAAACAGACAGTTATTTTCCATTTATATATATATTTATATATAGAATAAAATACTCCTGATGCAATATATAAATGTTACTGTTAGTTTTTTATAGAAACTACTGTAGCTGTTGCACTGCTTCACAATGTTTCAAACAGCTCAAAATAACTTTACATTATAACATAAAAGATATGATTATAACAGTACGATATTAGGTCATCATAAATAAATATTACAAATCCTATCAAATATGGAAGTTTAAAAAACAAAATTTAAGACATACAGTTTAACTTTAAACCCTTAATAGGGATACACTTTCATCACATAAACCCCACTGTTTTAACTAGGCAGCAAAAAATGTAGTAAGGGCATAGGTCTAGACATGAATGTTTTCACCCTTATAAGTGCCAATACATACCAGAAGTCTCCCAGCTTTCAGACAGAGATGTGCACTAAAGCTGGAATGTAAGTGAGAGAAAACACAAATGCATTTTTCTCCCTGACCGGCACACTCTGCCTGGCATCCAGCGACATTTCTGATGACTGGTAATTCAGAATTCAACTTGTTTCACTGTATAATCCCTGACTCTCACTGTGGTGCCGAACAGCATAGCTCCACATGTACATATTGCACACCTTTATAAAGCTGAAATGCAGTCTTACCATCACCAGAACCACCACCACTCCCCTACGCTCATCTCCCCCTGACCCAGCCTGTTTTCTGGAGTGCAATTACAAGGCTGTCTCTTTTAAATCATTCAGATTTGGCATTCGCGATCGGTTTGTTCGGTTATACGTGTGCCCATTCTGTCCGCTCTTAGAAGGCAGCTGATCTGAGTAGGGAGGCCCATCACTCGCGCCCCTGTTTACTGGGGAGACGTGCCAGGTAGGTTCCAGCTGACTTGGTATCTGCAGTGTTGGCCTGCTTTTCGGCTGAGGCTCTTGTCTCACATTGCTGCTGCCACTGCTGGAGCTTTGACTCATGGGGTGAATTCGCACTTCAGAAAACGCAGCTTTGGCTGGCTGACTTGGTAAGGGCTGGAAGCGAGGCTCAGCAGGGACAGGATGATTTGAAGTGGAGAGGTGTAAGAGCTTTCGAAGAGATTTTAGTGGCTGGGTCTGAAAGACATGGGGAAAAGCACTTGACCACCTGTTCTTCATCACATCATACTTCCTATAGCAAAACTGTCATATCCTAAACTGAACACCTTGAACTTCACAGGACTTCTTCACTTAAATTTGTATTCATTTGGAATTTCATTCCAACCTATGAGTACACACCTGAGAAAATCTCTTCTCATTATGATTCAACCTATTAGCTACCTGAAAAGATGGAACCTTGTCTACATCAGAAAAAAAATGTTGTTCCCTTCAATTATTTTAACCTTGTTTCCTATGAAAACAGAGACATAGTTGCATTACCTGTCCCTCTGTCACTATTCCTGCTATTAACTTTAGAACCTCAGCCACATTTTATAAGCCGCAGATATCAGAAATACAGTTCCTAAAAAATTTGTAAACCTCGGTTAGAGGTTAGAGAGAGTCTTGAGTAATCATCTGCACCGAAATAAGGGCTGGCAGAACTCAGCAGTGGGATATTTTGTTTGCTGGCAGCTGGGTGATAAGCTGCTCTAGTCACTCACAGCTTCTTTAATGGTGAGCAGGTTGAAGGAAAATGGAGGCATGGGGTCACTGAAAAGAGTCTGGGGAAGCCTGAGTATGGGTATACAAACTGGTATGAAAATAACCTTATTAAATTCCACAGCTCACAGAAAAAGTAGCTTCTTCAAACACTGCAGCTGCAATAAACCCTCTTCTTCAGTTTTCCATGTTGTAATGGCAACAGAGCATGGCACTGAAGCTCCCTCTCAAACCATTCCCCCCAAGCTGGCTTTTGAACGGGAGAAAATAAAGTTGCTTTAGTGCACTGCTATGCTCCAATAACGCGGCCTGCTTAAATCACAGTTTGTGCCACCTGAGGCACCGCTGCACCGTAACATGCTCACGATGCTCTGGTGACCCCATCCAGTATCACTGTGTCAAGTAGCAGTGTGCCCTCAGCCTTCACCATAGTTTGCAGAGCTGACTTGAGGGATTTTCTACAGCACTGCATAGCTACCATAGACACAACCTGTAATGTTGCTTGGCTGCAATATAGAAACATAATCAATATTTTGAAAGGCTCAAAGACTGACATAGGGACATTTAGTCTCTCTTCTTTTCCTTGTCATTCATATCTAGATTTTCAAAGAATTATGCAGGACTGCAGGCACACATTTTTTTATATTTAATGAAGGGGGAATAGGAAGGTTGGGAATTAACATCAAATACAATTTTTCTATTCACTGAAAAAAAAAGCTGTCAAGATACCTCAGTGATGTTGAAATACAGGGAATTGAGAATGCTACTTACATGAGGCTGGATTTCTGTCATCTTCTCAGGATGCCAATCTTTCTGCCTGCTGCTCTGGTGATTAGAAGTATGAATGGCTTTCTGTAATGCCAAGAGATCCTGACCATCACTGCTAGGCATCTGCAACAAAATATTAAATACTGGTCTCCTAATATATTCTTAAGTGTAGCTGTAAAGCATTTCCCCCAGTTAATTGCAGAACACAAGTGAAGCCCATTACTGCAGCAGAATTGTACTGACCTTTCAATAGTTTTCCCCATAGTAAGAGCAAGTGGCTGTGGAAATCATGCAGATTTGCTATACCCTTAGCCCTTAAAGCATTCACATGCTGTTAGTGTTACTTGCTGTAAGAGAGAGCAATTAAACAAGGCTTCAAAAATAAAATAAAAAAATAAAAAAAGTTGAGCCTCATCTTCATTTAAAAGCATTCCATACTGCAGTTAAGACCATGGCTCAGTTCCATAAATTTGCTCCTGAGTGAAGCAGACCAAAATCTCCCCAAACTGATGTCTGGCTGATTTTGCCATCACAAAACCATGACCTTTTTCTTTTGCATCTTTCCCCTCCTCCACAAACAGCCCAGACTGGAGCAAAAATTGAGAAACTCCCTACTCAAGCTGCAAATCCAACAAAATTTATGGCAGAAGGATAATTTAAAACTTACATGGAGAGTTTGATCTCATACCAAGAATTCTGGGCAAAAAAAGGACAGTTGAAATGTAAGCTTTTTTGATGCAAACTATCTTTTCTCATGAACAATCAGGAAAACCAAAAATACAGCAGAGGCATGAGCTAAAATTTAGTTTTCAGATAATCTGTCATTAATATTTGATGTATTTAATTTATACATAAAGGAGCTGTTTGCATTAAATGGTATATTTCCAATATAGCTGTAAACCAAGCCAGGTTATTTTTTTTCCTGATTGAAACAGAATAAGACAGTTTAATTTAAAACATACACGATTTCAGAACTATTTTCCTCCTTTAATCTTGGTCCCAGGGTTCATTGTCTCTGGAACTCTGTATTTTCAGTGTATCAAATATGAAAAAAAATAAGAGATTAGGTGCAATCTAGTTCAACAGAACTGCCAATTTTACTTGAATTTATTGAACTGGCCCAAGATACTTAACCAGCATGAAGAGAAAGTGATCCCATGAAAATAAAACACATGCTGCTGTAGTCAGTAAAACAAGTTTACTGGAGCATTTTACAGTGCTACTGTACTTAAAAATTAATACCATGGGTAGAGTGACTACAGGAAGCTTTTTCAAGGAAGAACTATGTTTTAAATTATTCTTTGCATTAAAAAGAGGAAAGAGGGATTTCTTGATGCTTGGATTCTCCCCGTTGGTTGAGTCTGTCTGCAATATAAGATACAAAACCTAAATGCATAGTATTTCAATTCAAGAGATCTGTCCTTACTATATTAATTCTTTTTCTGGGAAATTCTGACAATATATGGTATCAATCCTATAATTTGCTTTGGGAACATACAATAGCGATTGAATTAAAAAAGCATATGGAACAAATTCAAGGAACTCAATGCATATACAGCATGTAAAAAGAGATCAGTACGCCTATTCTTACACCTATGTTTCCTAGGAATGCAGAGTGCGTTTCAAAGCCTTTTGGAAATGGCTGATAGGTCTTGTTGACTTTACCAAGCTTTGGATCAAATTCTCTAATTCTGGCCATCATTTTTTACTTATGATAATGACCTAAAGCAGTATGACATCTCTTATTTTTATACAAATAATAAAATAATTATAAATAAATATAAATAAAACAATTACTAACTAAATAACAATAGTAGCACTAACAATAATAGCAATATAATGATTATATGACTAAAGGGACTGGTGGGTGCCCTACCAAAAGCAATGGCTTTTGAACAGCTTTCTCAGCTTCTAGGTTCCATCCAAGTTAATGAAATAGTGTCACTAATTTGTATAGGTCGCTTAGGAACTTTATAGTCAGAAGAATTTCCCGTTTCAAGTTCAGTAAAATAAAAAGGAATCAAAGTATCTCTAGGAGAAACACTCACCTATAACCTATTTTTTTCAAAGCAGATAATCTCTTCAGACTTATATCTTACAACATGTGCCAAAATCTGCAAAATGCAGGCTCCTCTGAAGATAGTGCCTGTTGACACTGAGCACAACCCTCATGGATATCAAATTGTTTGGTGGCAGATGACAGGATAACAGAAAAAAACAGTGACTCTAGCAGTCCTCAAAATCTTTTGCTATGTTACTAAAAGACTCCAAACAAAATGAAGGGAAGAAGGGATAAGAATAGCTCAGCAAAAACAATATTGCAAAGAATTCCCAAAGGAGGAAGTAACAATTATTATCCCATGAGGAACTGCACCTGGAGAACTCTAGGGAGAATGATTAACAAAAACTACTGCAGGAGGTAATGTCAGGATTTGGGATCAGTTCTGGGCTATTAGAGGTTTTGAGAATTACATTATTAAGAAGATGCCTTCAATCCAATTTCATGTATCTTTTACAGCTCTCAGAATCACCAGCAAAATGAGACTTGCCAAAGGAGATCAGAAATAAATTCTAGCTAGCTATGATGTGCTTTTCAGTACTTTGACAGTTCTCAGACCCACTTTATTTTTTGCTGCAGAAAGCCGTGTCAAATGTCATACTTCTAGGAGTCTAAGAATTACAAACTTCAGAAAAATCTTCAGTAGTTACAAGCTATCTGTTGGATTTTTAACATGAATTCATAGCAAACATTAGCCATGTAGATGAAAAGCCAATATTACAGTGCTGCTACTACTGAAGTCAAACTTGGTGCTGAACTTAAGGTAGTAATTTTTGTTTGTGATAGAAGATCCTAACAAACACCCCAATTTTTGTGAGGTAGAGTTCCTCAACTAACACATGAAGAAGAACAAAGAAGAGTTTCTGAACCAGAACCTTTTACGCACATCACTGGATACAGTCTATCCCTAGACACTGTCCCATTAAACAGCTTCAAGCAGAAACGAAAAGAGGTTTTTCAGTCTCTGTTAGGTCAAAAAATCAAGTTGATGGCAGCAAGTTTCTAGCTGAGGATGGAAGAATTTTATTACTATCTTATTTCACTAATTTATTCATCTTTCTGTAAGATACTAGCCCTAACTGGCCAACATAATTTTTCCTTATGCAAAACCTCTCTCCCTCCCTCTCCCTCTCTTCTTCAGATTAAGAAAAAACAGGAATAAGGATTATATAGAAATCTGTCCTGCGCTATAACCAGTGAGAGTTTCAGTTTTGTGTGATGGCTTTAGTTTTAGTGATAGTTTTTAGTGATTCCCTTTAGCTTTAGATAAATGTACTTGTGATTAAAATGTTTTGGAAAGTGCCGGATTTTGAGATGCAACACTACCCAATCTGTATTTCCTTCACACAGTTTAATCTGGAAACAGTTTGACACACCATGTATCAGCTGGGCTTTTGAAGTGTTCCCTGCCATCCCAACTGAATGGCTGGGATCAGAGCAGACTAAAACAGTGAAAATTTAACTTTTTTTTTTAATTTTTTCTTTTTTAAGGTATCACTGGAACCAATGGCCTTGGTGTGCTTTCCTTTCATGGACATTTTGACATCAAGTAATGCCAGAGTTACAATCTAGGTGTTTTGCTTAGTTGGGTAATGCAGATGATCATATTTGAACTGCATACCGGTATCAGGATGAACAAGTTCAGAAGGCAAGGTAGGTGCCACTGCTCTAAAACTTGCCCATAAGGAAGGCAAGCTGCATTTTTGAGTGGAGTTACTATGCACATGTTCCATACAAGAGCCTGATAATCACTCCTCTCTCACAATTTTCAATAGGTCAGCCCTCCACCAACACCCACCAGAGTCATGCCACCTCACTCTGTGACAGTAGGTATTTTGATTTAGTTACCCCCTTTTGTTAGGAGTGAGTGTGATTTACTCCATTCTGAGTACCTTCAAAACTGTAACTGCAGTTACACTTACGGAAACATTGCATCCTCATGTAAATGAAATTTTAAATGATTTACTGTTTCCAGGACTGTAATTTGAGGATGAGATGAGATGTTTAGGTTACTTCAGTTCTTAGGGAGACATAAAACTTCGTGAAATGTTAACACAACACTGCTCTGCTCTCCAATAAAAGAAAGACCTTTCTTTCTCCCCCAAAACTAGATGAAAATGTAGAAACATATAAAAGACACCAAAGGCTTATACCAAATAGCAAAAGCCACAATCCATTCCCCCCCAAAATCATGAAACATTAAGAATGGTTAAGATGTATCTTCCTTATTCCAGCCATGGGGTACAGCAGGAAGATGGAGGCTGTTATCAAGACACTGCCATGAAAAAGACTAGAAAGAATTTTCATTTATAACTGTTTGATCTCCTCCCAATGGGTATCTAAAATTATTCAAGCTCTGGGGACACATGATACTGCATTTGTTATTCTTGGAATGGTATCACCATATCCTGCAAAAGAATTTACCACAACATCAGCTTTAAACTTGCATCAAAAATGGCTCTCGAAGACTCTGAATGTAAACAAAGATGCACTGGACTAGTAGGTGAAGAAATATTTGAAAAAGGCACTCTTAAATAAACCCTTAACAGTAAAAGAATTTGATTTTCATATAGTGAAGAGACAAAATAAAAGAACGAATAGATACATGTGGGTATGGTCGTAAATAATACAAAGGTACTGTACTAATCTAGTATATTAAAATGATACAATTAAAAACTGATAAACATATTTTCTGTTAGAAACACTGTATACTTACAGTTTGAGATTTCTTCTTTTTCTTTTTTATTGCCCTGAAAAACCCCTGCTTTTCTTTCTCCTTGAGCTCTGAGTGACTGTTAAGGTTTTCAGGACTTTTCCTAAACATGAAACAAGGTATCGTAAGAGATATTTTATTTTGATATCATGCAAATTCTGTGTAATAATGAGATCTGAAGCCAAAGAATGCAAAGTATTGATTAAACAAAAAGATTCTTAAAGTTTTAGCATTCACTGGCTCAAGGGTTACTATAAAAATACTGGATAGTCTTATTAGATGGGATAGGAGGAACACGGTGTTAGGAAAAATTATTAGCTTAAACCAGTGAATAGTTATATAGGGAAAGGGAAAGCATGCATGTCTTTTTTTTTAATATATATACACATAAACCCCAGAATTTAATATACAAAGAAAAATATCACACACAAGGTCTTTTAGAAAACTGAAAATTGTATCTGAGAGAACATACAAATAGTGATGAGGGATAAAAGCACAGGTCCAGTTTATCTACTGCTTGTTGGAGGGCCAGGAGTTGCAAAGTTCACAAGAGACCCAATTTCAACTGAACTTCCTGACCTTTGCTGACATGGTTCCAAATTTATCACTGGGGAAGCTGGGGATCTACTGTTGTTCACTTCAACTTAAAAACTTAAGTTAGTTTGTTATGTGTGGGTGAGACAGTGCTGGGAAAAAAAGATGACCCGAAAGTGGAACAGGTGACTTGCCTGAAGACTGAATTTGCACTTTTTAGCTTATCTACAGGGCTGAATTAACTGCAGCTGATAAATAATACGTTACTTTAAGTATACACAGTAAACGTACCGGTATGGGTTAAAAAGATTATTTTTGCAGAACACTTGATATAACAAGTCTTACAAGTGTTGAATGCAGTTGTAGTGTAAAATAGTTTGAAAATTGGAAATGGTGCAGGAAAGCACCACAAAAATAATTTCAGAGGCAAAACTCTACAAGAGTGAGAGATTTCTATCTCTCTAGTATGTTAAAAAACACAGCCAAACCAGCCCCAATATTTCATTTCATTGATTGCGGCGCAGAAGTACTTATCCATGAAGAAATTACAGAATACTAGAAGATCTTTAAAGTAAAGGGCAAAGACAAAGACATAACAAGGACAAGCAGGTGGATGATGAAGCCATAGAAGTTGCATTAGAAACAAGGCACTGATTTTAACAAATAAGAATCATTAACCAGCGAAACAGACTCTTCAGTGAAGAAGTGGATTTCCATCTTTGACATTTTAGATCAGGACCTCATACTCTTCTGAGACACACATTACTCAGGTATGCTACCAGGCCTGGACCCTAGAGAACGTGTGACATTTAATGGGAACTAACATACAGAAAATCATACTGGGTGATTTAATAATAGAAAATCTAAAGGAAAGCCACAGTTCCAAGGGCTCAGGATGACAAACAGAAGCAGCTTGTCTTGGAGTAACTGTAATGTAGCAACACTTAGCTGTCTCCTATAGTTATAGCTTCTAATTCTGGCTTTCAATGCTATGCTATCAGCTGGTGATTCAGCTGCTACTACATGCCAAGCTGACATTTTTTTCTAAGCAAATGTGAAACATAATTGGGGTAGGAATCACTGGAGTCCTCATCGATAACAATATCTTCACTCTGATAGGTGGTTTAATCAGTTCTTCAGTTTCTACACAAAAGCACCTTGAGCTTGAAATGCTACCTGGTTCTAAATATAAATGCATGCTATGTTTAACACTGTAATGAAGTGCAATTGTTGAGTAAAAGAATAGGCTTAGAGGAAAGATGCACAGGCAGAGAGAACGGTGGAAATTTCCCTAATTTAGATTTTTTTAAATTTACATAGAGATCCAGGAAACACATTCAGGTGCACAACATTGATTTAACATGGAAGTTGCAACACTACTGGAAAAATCTCTAGTTTAATATAATTATTAGATTTATAACACATACTTCAAATATACTGGATTGCTAAGGATTCCTGTTTCTGTCATGTTCCTGTATTTGGTACCACTGTGTAGGCAGCAGTACAGCAGTCCTGTATTAGTTACTTAAAGCACCAAGACTATTGACAGCTTTACAGACTCAGTGAACTCACAAGACTGACTTAACACAGACAAAACACCAAGTTATTTACTAAATGTTTTTTACTTAATTTGTTACAAAAGCTGGAGGACAGCATGCATCCCAAGTATTCTGCTTGTCTTCTGAAAGTCATGTGAACGGGGCTGAGAATCTTCTGAGCCTTTCCCCAAAGCTGCTGTGCATCCACATCTGCAAACAAGCCCTAAACCACAGCCCCAGTGCAAATTACCAACCCAGTGACTATGTTGTCCACTGAAGAATCAGTGTCAGATCATGAGGAAGTCCTCTTTGCTTACTCTAAACTGTTCTTTAAAATTTTTGTATGTCTTGCTATGGACTTTCTGTTCCAAAGCCTATTCCAAAATGGAGACACTATATTTTTAAAGGTGAAGTAATCTTCAGAATACAGCTTGAGGACAATTTTTGCCATACTTTCAGACAGAGATTCACTCAAGTGTGATTCTTTCCTTTGGCCTGCTGAACCTGGGTGAGAAAACTGCTTCCTACAGCAGATGAGCAGAGAGGAGAGAAGTAAAATTCTGGATCATCATATCCTCTAATGACTACTGTGACCAGAGGAGGAAAACAAGGGGCTGAGAACTCTGCTCAGTTTCAGTAGGTGCTTACCCAAAAGCCAGTATTTTTACACCAACTGGTTTATGTCATTACCTCCTATGACTCATATTGCAGTACAGTTGTCTGAAAAAACACTGACCTTGAAAAGCAACTGCTTCAAAACATATGCTCATTATGTGAAGAGAGTGAACATATATAGCATTATAGCAGGAAGCTTCAACACCAGGATTTTGTACTGAGTAAAAATAGAGCAGAACATTTTGATTGATGAGATGAAACACTGGGATATTTTAAGCATCCCAAAAGATGATTTTCACACAATGGACAGTATAGGAAAAAAATTAGGATTATCAGGAAAAAATATGTGTGATTGAATCACTCAACACTAAACCCTTACAATATAACTGCAAGCAAATTGTCACATCAGAATCTGTTACATGCTGTCTCTTTTATTAGCAAGTAAGACTAGTTGTTGAAAAGAGTCCCCACTCTGACAGCTCACCCTCAAGCAGAAACCAAAGGCAAAACATTCTGTCCTTTGTTATTTTATCTTTGTGTGCCTTTTGCATGTTTAAGATGTATAACGTAGATCACATTGTTTTTTCTGGTCTGAGACACTTGGAGAAGGCATAGGTATAAACACAGATTCTGTGATTATCACTAGCGTTTATTGCCCCTGGCAGTGAAGGTATCCAACTTCATGCAGGTACAATGAGGTGTAGCAGTAAACATACACAGAGCAAGCAAGGTGATGTGCTTTAACATTAACCAAGTAGAATAAATAGGAAGCATGTTGTATTCATGCTGCCTATAGACAGATTTGTATTGCAGAGAGTTCTTCTTGGGAGGCAGTTCCTCATGCTTATTTCAGTTATTCTTCAGCAACCCTAATCTCAGCAGGCAGCCTGGCTTGGAAATCCTCTTTAACTGCCAGTATACTACTCCCTTTACTGAACCGCTCATAATGACATATATAAGATTTTGGTCTAACGGAGGAGTTACTGAAACTCAGCCTGAAGTCTTCTTTGGAAGATAAATGAACAGCTGCTAATTCTCCAAGCTAGCTTTCCTTTGTGCTTAAAGTAAAACCATTAGCAGTTATAGTTACCATAAATGAAGGCAAGGATGTGTCAGAAGCTAATGAAGCACCTCAAACAGATGATTTACTTAAGGTAAGAATATCAATCCCACAAGCTGAAGCCATAGTAGAAATTCTTGGTCTAAAAGCCTGGCATTGAAAGCTTAAAAATCAGAGATCAAACCTGAACTTTGCTTGGAGCTCATTTCTGCTCCCCCCCCCCCCTTCCTTAAATAAGGAACATTTATTAACTGGAATAAACCCGGACCTACTGTCTTATATACAGAATACCATCCAGAAGCCACTAAAGCCAGTAGATCACCTGAGGTTACTGCATCACTAAAAAAAGTATACATATACATGTATTTAAACATAAATGTTTTACCGGCCTCCTCTCTCCCCGCCCCCCCACCTGGCCTAGAATTGTTCAATGTAAGTAACCATAAAAATTTTGAAGTGGTTGGTTCTGAAAACTTATAAAGCATATTCTTCACTAGGCTTATTTTTTTTGGACAGAATATTGATGACTACAAATTCTGGAAAGCTTCCTTGCAAACAACACAGGAGGGCATCGCCTAATTGTTAGTATAAAACAAAGAGACTGATGATAGGCAAAGGGTCATGGTACAGGCACTGGTTACAAGAAGAGGCAGGTAGGGAGGCTTAGGTGTTGCCAAATAGATGAATAAAGCAAGCATACTGGATGACAATGCATATGCAAGTGTCTTCTGCAGGATATGTCAGAGGGAAAGCCATACTATTGGGAAGGTGAACATCTCCATACTATGCTGAGCAGATTCCTAAAGGCTTAACCAGCGTAACACACAGAGGTGATTTTTAGGCTTGTAAGTTACAAATTTGCAATTTCCTGATATTTTTTGCAAATTCAAGAATCCTATAAAAGAACTGGTAAGTATTTACAATGCAGCAACAGTTGTACTGCAGACACAGCTGAACAAGCTTTAAACTAGCTTGCTCAGATACTGGTTTCAGGAACATTAAGTGTGACAATATTGTTACACTGATACCAAAACAGAATGTTTCTCGAATGACAAAGTTTACGTGCGTTTGTAAGCATTACATACATATAGACTATAATAATAAATATATATATTTTCCATTTTTATTATTTTTGCGGGAAGGTATGGCAAATGCTAGTGAAGATATGACAAGCTGTTTATCATAGAATACGTATGCTTATATGGACATAAAAGGTCTAAACAACAAAGCTTTCCAGAAGCCACCAAGTATCTTGTAAGCAACCAATGCAAACACTTCTAACACGTGAGATGAAGTACTGCATGTTTATGTCAAGGAGATATTTAGAACTACAACAATGGTAAAAAGAATTCAGGCTAGCATTTTGGCACACTGGCAGAACAAGGATAAGCATCTTACCTATACCTACTGATTTTGCCAGGTCAAGAAAAAGCTCATAAAAGCGAAAGTAAATAAAACATCTACTCTTGCATCAAAAAGGAAAAATGGAGCAAGTTCAATATCATTTACAGAAAATTGAACTCTGGCAAAAAAAAATAATTCTAGAAGGATGATAAGTTTGTCTTTTTTCAAATCAAGTTGTCTAAAGTTCAGAAATGATCTCCTAATCTAAGAGTAAAACCTGCTGACAAAAGTTGAGTTTATAACATCTTTATTTTAAAGAGGTAGGACAGCAGGGACAGAGCAAAGAAATGCGCACAAAGACAAGGGAACATCTGTGACAATTCAGTCTAGCAAACATTCACAAAATCTTTGACAGAAGAAAGGCAACACAGAGCAATAGTATGAGAGAAGCAATATTTTACAGTAGTGGCAGGTCCAGGTGGAATACATGTCACTCATAATTCCAGATGAATTGTCATGTACCAGTTACGTATGTCAGTCAAACATCAAATATTTACTTCATCATAAAATTGATGTAAGCAGGATCACATTCCATTAGAGCTTTCAACATTTTCATAAGCATTTACACAACTTCTATACAGAAAATTAAGTAGAGGAACATAGACTCTACATCACTCAGGATTCTGATTAAGCTGCATTTATGGCACAGAACGATTTTGCAACAACATTAGACCATTGCCTGGACAACTTGCACAGAGTTAACATGTAGAGCTGGGCAGGAAACACTTCAGGAAAATAGGGAGTAGGAAAAGCAAAGAGAAAGCTAAAGGTATGCCAAAATAGCAGTAACTTGGTGTTGCGGGCACTGCTATTCCTCCCATTTCATGAGAAGAAATGCTTAATCTTCTGTGGGTTCTTCTCTCAAAGGAGCTGTTCCACTTTGTGAAAATATTTGAATACATTAAGTGGATCAAGGACTGGAACCTAACTCTCTAAAAGTTAATGAAGGGCTTTATTCACTAGGCCATATTCAGCATCTCTGTGGTCCTCTCACTATTTCAACAAGATGAAACAGCTTCAAGAGAATATACTGAGGGAAACAGAGAATGTGCTCCAGAATAATCTCCAACTTCTGCTTGAGAGCGTTCACTTGTTAGATCTAAGATCTAGGTTCAAGTTTCTGGTTTACTTAATGAAGAACAAAGGCCCTGCACTCGAGTTCCTCACATTCCAAAAAATAATGCTGACCTCAGAATATTTGTTATTTTGAGTGTATCCCTGGTTTTGACAGGCAATTCCACCTTGGAGCTGAAGAATCTTCCCAATGAAAGGTTAGTGGATTTCAGTCTGTTCCTTTGAAAAGTTTTTGTTTCAGTAATTTGGCATTGTAAGCAAAGAAAAATACTTAGTTCAAAAATTCCCAACCAGCTCTATAACACATGCTATTAGTTCAGAGTTAAAATAACATTACATGTTTCTTTCCACTGACCACATAATAAAAGATAATATATTGCTGAATGATATATAAAGCAAAACAAGATTCCAGCTGGCTTATTTTATATGCAAGATAGAAAGATTCAGTAAGGACAACAAAATATGTAAAAGGGTTCAACAGCAGGAATAAATACCTTCTTTAGCCACGTAAGTCACAACATAAGTACCACCTTTTTACATAAATGATCGGATTCCTCAGCTAACTTCCACAAAATGGATGTAGGTAGAGCTACTGAAGGATAGGAAGCAGACTCTAGTGAATCAGAGCAGGTGACAAGGGTTCTGGAGTAAACATCTTCCATTACATGGCATATAACCTGAACACAAGCTGAAACATTTGTTTCCCTTCCCCACCCTGCACCCACTTCTTAAGCAGGTAATTCACAGGTTGTTCATCTGAAAACACATTAAGTCAACAAACCACAGGAACAGTTCTTTAGATAACATGATCTTATTGCACTTTCAGAGATCAGTGTTTCAGATAGTGGTACAAAGCATAGTTGAACCACACAAATGCATACATTCCTCCTACCAATTCTTCGAAACTCCATTTGCTTATTTTTATTCAGTGTGCTTTGCTGTGATTGAACAAAGTAGAAGATTAAAAATGTTTTAGAGCTGAACAGCTCTCAGAGCAACAGAATTAAGAGATTTCCCTTCAAGTCCTGTAAAGATATGCATATACTGTCATACTATTAGCATAATTATGGTTAAGTGTTCTATGTTATATAATGGAACCATGTGATACTTTTGATCTTTTAAATTCAATATATGCCAGTAAGATGCAACTTCCATTTTTCCATAGAATGTACAGATTTCCTTCTGTGGTGTGTAAGCAAAAAGAGCAGCAGTCCCCATTGTAGGGTGAATATTATATTCTTCGTTAATACAGTTCTATTTTAGATAGGGAAACATGCATTTTGATATCTTTTCCATTTATCTGACAATTCATGCTTCTGGAATCACAGATGAAGCTACAGCATTGCTATCCATACTATATGCAAAACAAGCACCTTCTATTATCTTTAATCAAAGATTAATCGTGAAAAAATTCAGGAAAGACTGGACAAAAGTATATAATCTTTAATGCCTCAAGTGTGATGGTGCAATGAAGTATTTCTTGTTGCTCAAAGGGGGACAGAAAACATGCAATGCTATATCAGCATAGTCAGAGGAAGCAGCTAAGCATGTATAGGTAATTGCAAACTTTGAGAAAAACGTGTTTTTTTCCCTCCTGTTAAAAATCCTGGTTTTTTTTTCCTGCCATTCTCTACACATCTGTGTAAGTAACAACTCACCAAGTATCAAAGGTGGTTTGTCTCTTTGAGTGGTTTCCCACCGTGCTGGTGTCTGCTGGTAACACAGAGGTTCTGTTTGACACATTATTCTCTATGTATGTGCTCTCTGGACGTGGAGATGGAACTGAACAGGGAAATAACAAACAATATATCCTGAGCTTTGCCAAAAATCCCATCTTGCAGTTGTCTGCTTCTTTTATACCTCTTTTACAGAAACAAGAGAGTGAAGACACAGTTGCACTTTATGTATGACTGAAAAAAACCCCACACTGTTTTTGCAATTTGGAAAGCTGTTGCTTTATGATACTTGCAACATAGCATAAGGTGTAAAATGAGACCATCATCAGAACCTGGGGAAGTTGTTAGTAGATTTGAGAACATTTCTATCTGTAGGGAACCAGAAGTGCAACCGATATTTAAAAACAGGAAATAGAATAAAACACTGGAATGCTGTTATTAAAGACACAAAATACTACAGTTTACACTTTGTCTTCACTTAGACACTAAAAATAAAATAGTACCCATCCTGAAAAAAAATACTTTGGATTTTAACATAACTAGGATTAAGAATTACTCACTAAAAATGGAATAATTAAAATCAGGTACTATATATTTTTCAAAGCAGGTTACACATACCCACAACATAAATTTATTAGAATTATGAATATCACCAGAAATACCTGCATTGGATTAAAAATTGATCAGACACTAGCTGTAGCATTACTGCAGCATCACACTACATTAGCTATCAAAATTGAATCTGTAAGATTTTGTTCAAGTTTCATAATGACTTTTTCTTTCCATAGCTTTTGCATATACTGTTATCAATGTATTATTTAAATACAGTATCATTTTTCAAAACCAATAATTAAGTCTTAAAACTAAAATGTATTTGTTTCATAGATACAGTTAAAGATGAAGAAACCCTTAGTTCATAAAAAGCAACTGAATAAACCTCAGACCTAGAGTTCCCTCAACACATGAATTATGGAAAGTCATTCTTCCTTGGAACTTGTTTTGCTATGTATAAAAAAGAAGGATAATCCATGTCCAATTTTAGAAGTATATTTTAAAAATTAAGAAAAGCAATTAGGATTGAGGATCTTTAAGGATTCTCTGTTGCATATGCTGTAAAACCTTATACTCAAAAGCATTAAAAAAGTACAATCTTTAATATTGCACACGGGTTTTAAGATTGCAGTAGGACACTTGTGAAGACTTGCAGATTTTAACGTGTCTAAATCACGTCAACAGCAAACCGATCAACCTGAAGAGGATCAGTGGGAGATTTATGTCTCTACTTGAGGTTATTAGGCGACTCATAATCGAATTGTAGCTGTTTGGGACTTCTTAAGGTTCAGGGGAGTCCCACAAGCCTCATAACACTTGCAGGGCAGTAATTAGCTTCTTACCAGCCTTGTCTTTTTCAAGAGGATTACCCAGGTTTAGCCATGAGGCAGCTGCTCAGGAATCACCATCTTTTGAGTACCATAACAGAAATCACTGTTTTTTACTGTGAGGGTTGTGAGGCCTTGGCACAGGTTGCCCAGAGAAGCTGTGGCTGCCCCATCCCTGGCACTCTTCAGGCCAGGCTGGATGGGGCTCTGAGCAACCTGATCTGAGCAACCTGGAAAGTGACACTGCCCATGGCAGGGGGGTGGAACTAGATGAGCTTTAAGGTCCCTTCCAACCCAAACCAGCCTATGATTCTATGATTAATATCTATTTGTATTTATATACATACACATACACAAAAATATATATGCACATGCATGGTCCTGTTTTATTATTTATCCTTAACTGGGATTATATGTGTGCTTTTACTCGTAGGAAACCCTGATCTTTAGTAAGTTGAACAAAATAAATGAGCCTAGGTTTTGAGCAGTTAAAACCTAGCATTACAGTTCCATGCACCACAGAATCTGAAATAGATCAGTAAGTATGTCAATGTGTTACAAGTAAAAATGTGTTAGATATAGTGTTAATAAGAATGTAAAATATGAATGAAAAACATTAATGAACTGCTTACTCTGGTAATACTAATTTATTTTGTTCAACTTCCCCTGATAAATTACCTTTTGCTTGACAAGCTACTGCACTGGATATACTTTTCAATCAAAGTAAGTTATCAGTTGGAAAGAAATAATATGATACCAGTACAGCTACTGCATAAAACCTAGCAGGTCAACTCAAGTCTCTGAAAGTGAGGTAACAATTCTTTTTCCAATGAATTTTTTTAGTTGTTCATGATACTTCACTGTATCAATTACTACTACTTACATTACATTCCATGTTAAAATTCCTGATTAATTTTCAAAGATCCACCATAAAATTACCTCTGTAAAAGCTGCCAACTCTTCTCGGAACAGGGTCATTATACAGAATTCTATTCTCCTTAGTAGATGCTCCATCTTCTGAGTGTGGATCATGATATGCCCCACCCTAAACAAAAGAAGGATCAACTCTTTAAAATGAAGGATTACAAACTGATTCGCAGTTTTTAACCGACATACATAAGCAAGAAACCCCAAACTTAACCACATATGATTTTCCTTTCATGGTATTAACAACTGTCAATATCAACTCAGAGACTATGTAATCAACAATTATCTGGTTTTGCTGCTTGCTTGCTTTTTCCAAAATGGCATTGACAAAATTTTCCCTCCTACTTGTAATTTTATAGTCCCAAGCATGATTCAGACCCTCAGATTTTTGCCGTGAATGAAAGACAGCTGTAACATCTCTGGAGGAAGCTTTTACTGGAGGCCTTGCTAAATTAATTTCTGATAGAATCTGGTCACTCTGCTACTGGTAATCTTTAAAACGCAAACAGGAAATGTATATAATTTGTGACAACTGCAACACTAAAGCACTTTCTCTTATCACCTGTTACACAGTAGTACCCAGAGGTACCAACAGTCACAAATTCTACTTAATGCAAAATAAGACGTGTTCCTGAACTAAGAAATCTATAAGCTAAATAATTAAGTCAGACAGGATAGCAAAAAGAATATCATAACCTCTAACTTACTCTACTGAATGCAGTACCTCCTGGAAGTACTTGAAGCAAAAGCTTAAGTAAGCCCTTAGAAACATCCGTATGTATGTAATTTGCCAGGAAATATGATTTAACCCCACTCTTAAATGCTGCGGTATGGACCAACCACATAAAACTCAATGCTCTCTGCAAGAACCCACAGGAAACTGTACTGAAACCCCTGTAAGAATTTATATCTACAATGTCCAAGAAAAATGTTAACAAAACAAATCCACAAAAAAAGCCCAACCAGAATTAAAAATTGTTATTTCAATTCACTTTACAAGGGACTCACAAAATCTATTTTGCCTTTTGTTAATGAAGATCTGGTCTCACTGTCACAGTTAACGCAACCCTAGAAACTGTGCCAAGATGAGAAGTGCAGCTACAGCACTGATTTAAAACACAGTTTAATACTTCTAAAATTTACAAGAGGTTGAAGCATTTGATTAGATTACTACTCATGTAAGACATCTCTTCTTTGTCAGCAGGTGTTACAATTATAAGGCAGCAATAGCAACTTGTGCTTGATTTTCTTCTGCTTGCCCCCTTTTGTGTACATTTAAATTAAAACTAAAAAGAACCCTTTAAGCAATTGTTGTACTGACACTTGAAAAGCCCTAAAAGTAATACGGAATGCAAGTCTGCTTTGTATGTGTTTGTTTGTTATGGGTTTTTTTTTTAAGTAATATGTAGCAAACAAAGTTTTTCTTTAAAAGGACTTGGTAGCGCTAAAAGAGAAACCAGTGAGAAACTCGAAACATGGATGAGAAGGATCTTCACAAAATATGAGCAGAGAAAGAGAGAGAGAACCAGCAGACCTGACTAGAAAAAAAAAATATAATAGGGAACCAGTGTAGAATCTTTGAGAACACTGATGTTATTCTGATTTTTTAGTTCAGTAATCCTGAGGGAACCGAAGTTCTCTGATTTCTAATGCAGAATGCAGAAGGAAAAAAAGGGGGGGAGGGTAGGGAAAACCAAAGAATGCCTTCTTTGTGAAAATGCCTTTACAAGTCATAAGAAGATTGACAACTTAACCCTGATTTGTTATTGAAAGTAGAATAAACAAACAAAACCAGACAAATTTACAGACTTGCCATCCTTTTCAGAAGAGTATTTCTCCTTTCAGACTTCTGATGGTTGAAATACAGACTTAAGGCTTAATTTTAAAAATACTGACTATAAAGATAAAGGTAAGTTCTTTGCAGATGATCAGGTATTCCAAAGCAAATGAAAATGAACAAAAACTGAAGCAATTAAATACACATCAATTTCTCTCATTAAATTTCGTCAATTATCAAAAACCAAATAATGATCCGATAAAAACAATCTGCCTCTGCATAAAATGAAATTAAATCTAAATTACTTATCAAATTAATATCTGCTCCATCATGCAGAAAAAGATCCTAATGCATTGAAGTATACAAGGTAGCATGAGCTTTTATAATCAAAACCTTAAGCAAATCAAACATCAAAATGTTGGTACTATTGCCTTTTTACAGTAACATCCTAAAGAATATGTAACATTTAACCTGACTGAAATGAGAAATGACTACACACACACAAAAAAAGTTTTGAAACGGAGCTGCTGTAATCCTTTCTAAGTAGCGTTTTCTTTCCTTTTTTTCTTTTTTTTTGTTGTTGTATTTTCTCCTATTTTAATGAGATCTTTTCTTGTGTGTGAATACACATGGTCCTGAATGGAGGAGATGTGGTAAGTATGAAAAAACATATCACATCTTTTTTTTCCCTCTTGGAATGAAGAGGCAACTGCTATCTGAAAACTTTTTAATGGTATTTATAGACCACTATCAAGTCAGCTATACATAAACTAAGTAGGCAGGGTTTTTTAGTTTCTCATAATAAAGAATTATTTTAGACCTTAAATAATACTTGCAGCTCTTTGACTTCTTCCAATTTGTCAACAAATCTGTACTAGGTGTTTTCTCCTTAGAAGTCACAGATGTACGTATACAGAACTAAACATTTTTGTACTTCTGTCTGCACTATTTTGCTCCAATTTTGGTCAATATTAGAGCAATTTAAAGATCTGTGGACAAATGCAGTCATCTTTACATATCTGGTGTGTAAAGCATCAGATAATTCAGAAGTGCTGTGTAAGGAATGTAAGTCAATAGAAGAACTAGCCCCTCCTCTACTCATTAAACAATATTCACAGTAAAACATAACACGATACCTAGTGACAGTAATCCCTGTAAGGGATCAATTTACTAGTGGCTTCTCCAACATAAGACCTCTAGGCTAACCCAGTTATTTATCATACTAAGCAAAACAGACACTGCAAGTTTTGATATTCCTCTATGGCATTTCAGCAATAGCTTCCTGCTATAAGTGCATGAAAATATCACTTCAAAAATTAACATTAGCATTCATAACAGAAATACATGCAAACAAACACATACGAGAAAAGCTAAATAAAAACACAAATAAGGTTAATTAAGCAAAACAGTATGATAAAAATTACATCAGACATTCTAGGTAAAGACTAGGAACTGCTAATGAAGTAGAATGGTATTCATAGACCATTTTTATAAAACAGCCTCTCATTTTGCACTTGAAATACTTAGCCCTTCAGAAAAACCCCAACATCCCCTTCCTTACATCATGACAAATAAACAAATAATTGCAAACAGAAGACAGAAAGCAGGACACTGTCCCACATGAACTACAGAGAGGAAGGTAAGCCTTCCATAATAGGCAACATTTTGAACTAACCCTATTAGTATCATCCGTACAGTCTTCTCGTGATGAGCCAACAGATCTTGTGAGTGACTTATGCTGCACCTGTGGAGATAACAGTTGCAGGCTGTTTGCTCTGGCTGCCATCCCTTGCCCTATGCTTAAGCCACCCTCTGAGCCCTTTGACCTCACTCTGTCCCGGCTCACATACATAGAGTGTCTATGAGGGCGCTGCTGTGAAGAAAAAGGACTGGTATAACCTAGACCATAGGAAAAAGATTCATGTGGAGCAGATAGAGAGTGGGAATGGCTTCCATCCATGTGATCTGGCAGTTTTAACTCCTCCATTGTTTTGGAGTGTCTTGTTGGTGGTCTTCTGGTGTCCAGGGTACCTTCGCTGCGGTTATTCCTTCCGGATGGACTGAGCATAGTTCTGTTATCACTGTGTCGAGGAGCAGTTGGACTGGTAGGAGAGTTCAGGTCCATGCAGCTGGATGGAAAATACCTACTGCTGTTTGGTTCTGCAGCTTGGGCTCTGGCCTCAGAGAGGTTGCCCACAGATTTTGAGTCTGTCAGAACCCCATGGCTCTTTGACTTTGTCCGATATGAAGGACTCTTAGAAGACTGTGGGATAGTATCAATATAGCTGTGGCGACTGTGCTTATCACCAGGTTGCAGTGTCCCCGTTTTGCTTTGAGAAGTTTCCATAAATGAGTGCCGGTTCTGCTGAGATCTGGTGTTAGACTTCAGGTATTTTGAGCCTGAACCATCAGGAGTTTTTGGGTCCACATTAAAATCAAATTCTGTTTTTGCCTTTGTTTCCTTTGGGCTGAGAAGATGCGGCATGTTATTATTGGCTAGATCCTTGTTGCCAGATCCAGGTGTGTTGCTTGATTTTTTTGCATGCATTGGACTATGTGCGGCTCCAGAAAGGCTTCCATTTAGAAAGCTTTCATTTGCTGGAAGACCCTCTTCTCTTGGCCCACCAGCACCTAGCGCCTGTATATCCTTGCTGTTTGATCTGTGGTGTGACTGCAAAGCAGAACTTTTGCTGGCTTGATTTCTACATTAAAATGCATAAAGAAGCATTAATATACCATATTACATATTCATAATATAATAATTTCAACAAAAGTATACTAATTTCAGAAAGGAGTTGCCATTTAAAACCACAAAATTTAACTGCAATAAGATCAAATACTGCCAACTAGGCATCAGAAGCTCCACTCAAATAACAGATTTGCAAGTGGTAGTACACTGTTGTTTCTTTCTGGTTATACCCTGATGGAAAAAAACTCAGCTTTGGTTAATGGATTTTGCTGACAAAGAAAAATAGGAGGATATAAAATCCAATCATAGAAATTCCAACATATATTTACACACTTAGCATGTGAGTAATATATGTGCACATCAATATGTAAGCACCACATTATGAAAATTAGCTGTATATTCATTAAAAAAAAATCTTAAATACACCTGGCATATCAAAGTGAAGGTAGGACAATAAAATACGTCAGCAGTGTCAAAAAAACTCGATACAGTCAATGCTCCAGGCCATCTAATGTATGTCTGATTTGGAGGGGGAGGGGAAAAGAGGTTATTGTGCTGGTAAAGACATCCAGATAGAGTAAGCCTCATCTCAGATCAGCAGAGCAAGCCCTGCAACATCAAACCTAAACCCATGTCTACCACAGGAACGCCAGCTTTTTTTTGAACTTGGCACTATCCCAGTTCTTGGCACACTAGCTCATCTCCAAAGCTGCATCCAAGATGTTCAGCAATCAGACTGACTTGGTCCAGAGCTACTTAGTGATGTCCTTAACCTCTACTCTACTTCCCAGCTCTCGGTTTTGGGATTATGGGACTGAGATATGAGTTAGTTGTGCAAACACTCAGACTGAATTTATTTGAACAGGATTTATTATCTCAGGTTTTCTGGCATAAAACCAGTTCTGCTTCTGAACTTACTCCGGCATTGCAAGCTAGCCATGTCTGAACAACGCTGTAGCGGTACTTGTTAGCATGCCAGGTTAACTTAACTTACAGTTGACTTATTTCTGTATCAAATCTATGATAATGTAACTCAGAGATATTACTGGGTGTTAAAGCGAAAGCTCACTATACAGATGAGTTTGTACCTTTGTTGATCTTGTTGATAATTATAAGTGGATAATGCTAGCCATTTATATACCTAGAATTTTTGTATTACACTCTATTACAGTTTATAAAAATTTAGCAATTTTAATGACAGTTTAAAATATTTTTTAGTTAAAATGAAGTTGTTTGGTTTTTTTTTAACTTAGAAATATAAGGAATATAGTAGTTTTAAATCAAGCTGCTGGGCAAGCCTTTTAGGCAGGAAGTTCCCCAGGGATCTACGTTTCGATGCGGCCTCTTTCTGACACCACATCTCTAATGGTAAAACTTCTCTCCTAAGAAGATATCTCCTATCTAAAGCTTTTTTGGTATTTATCTCTGAAAAAGTATAGAGTGTATATTCCATCATCCCAAATCTTAAAAAGGGTAATTTTTTTTTTTAATCTCACAGGAAGAACCATCAAAAAACATGCCTAGAATTACAATCCACTATTATTCTACTATACTTCAGAGGGTGGCCTTTATAAAAGCTTTTGTCAGAGGAATACCATGAGGCTTTTTGTACTGAAGTCTCTATCCACCAGTAAACCTGGTTCCTTCATGTATTAAAACCACTTGGCTTCTCTCAAGCTATGTGGGTCCAACAAGGGAGTTGCTGAGCAAATACACCCTGAGTTAAGTTCAAGTAGACTACACTTGATTCACAACAGAAAAAGTCTGTTCATCCACAATCTGGAGCATGACCAATGCACACAGTTTTCAGGACACTTAGCTGCTAAAAATCTGTGCAAATTTTGAACTTTAAAATATCAAAACCTTGGACAGATTTGCACATGTACAATAATGGTAGCGTTCCAAAGAAAAGAGCATTCCTTTGGAATCTCAGGAACCCTCCAAGCCACAAAATTGCCAGTGTTGTTTAAGAAAAAGGCTAACATGTTTTTAAGACAGGTAAACCGACTTAATTTTCCTTGTCATATGCAGAAATGGCTTGAATGTTGTCTTTTTTTATTATTTTTTTTATTTTTTACAGAAAGCATTCAGCCTGATGCAAAAAAGTTAACAAAAATTTCAGATTGAGTAGCTATGATACAGTAAAACTGTGTCTATTTCCTTCATTCAGACAGTCAACATGTATATATGTCTTAATATGCCTAAACTGTCAAATGACTACTTTTCTTGTAGACGATGGTTTATGTAAGCATGATAGCAACTCATTGGCAGACCAAATGTCAGTGATGACAGTGAAATGACTATGTTTACCTGTTAGATAATGTGTTGCTGTCCGCGTGGTACGGTTTTCTTTTAGCTGACCGTGAAGGTGAGCTCCCACAGCGATCCAAAAGTCTTTGGGTTTGAAATGAAGGATGGTTCAAACACTGTTCTGTCAAATATCTGTCTGCTGGATCTAACTTCAGTAAGTTCTTTGGAAAACAAATCCCGAAGTTTAAATGTTAGTATCTGTATTTGCATCAGCAAAAAATATAACAAAATTCAGAACATTGTTGGGATAGTTTTTTAATCTACAGAGTTTCTGTGATTAGATGCAACTGCTAAACTAATTTCATTTTGCATTAAACTACACAGGCTACAAGATAAACACTTAAAACCCCCCTATGTTCTACTTAAGAGATGGAAGCTCTCAGCCTTGCTTATAATGAAACATATATATGTATATAATGAATGTAAGTATGCATACATACAGTTATATATATGTGCTTAAAATGTTTAGAATACAAAAATAGCTAAAAATTTAAAATGTTTTATGTATATACCTATACATGTTTTAATCATATATATTTTAAACATATTTTTCAAGATACACCTTGCAAAAATGTTTTTTAGAATGAAAATTATTAAATTTACCAGTAACAAATGCTACAATGAAACAGGCTTAACAAGCAGAACAAGCATATGGTAACATTCTTATCCAAACAAAAATAATCTGTTAAAGTTAGTATTTTTTAAAAAATACAAATGTAAGAGTTCTGATTTTTATTTCTAGGGTTCAAGTACACCTGGTAAAACTATTCTGAGAAGTCTGAAATGTTTCTTACAGGAACAGGGCAATACAAAACTTATTTTAGAATATTTGAACATACACTACTGTCAGCAAGGATAAAAGTCTGAATGGCTATTAAGTAAAAAGAATAACTATTTTTTAAGGGTTATATAGGTTGACTAGAGAGCAACACTGTGTATACGTGCATGTGTATACACATGTGCTATGCATATCTGTATATGCATTAACATCGTATTCGGCTACTTGCCCACAGTCTTTCCCTTCACAGGATCTAGGCACTTCAAAATGAAAAATGCTCAGGAAATAAAGCAAGTGGCAAGCTACATTCCTGTGTAGTTTGGACATACGATATGCAGCATCTTCCTTTCTCAAGGGGCAAACTGTACTGAACGATTAACTTCTCTTTCCTCCTTGGTGACTGATAATCACTACAGTGATTAGTGAGTACAGACCAAGATTTCTAAACTATCTTGGCGGCAATTTCCTAGTGGAACTTCTGGAGAAGCAAATCAGCCAAGGGTAAAACTTGACTCCACTTGCCTGCTGCTCACCAACAGTAAAGTACTGGTGACAAATCAGAGAAGACAGTCTGTAGTAACCATGAGATGATTACAGTTAGGAGTCAAAGGAAGGATGGGAAGAGAAGCATCAGGGATGGGAGCCAGGATAGCAAACTTAATCTTCTATAAGGAATAACTGTGCAAAAGCTCTTGAAAAACTGCCATTAGATCAAAGGCATGCAAGAAAGCCACTTGATTTTTGAAGAAATTTTTTGAGAGTTCAGTAACAAATCATCTAATTGTACAGAAGATCTCAAAAATTTGCATAAGGTCAGACTGGCTAAACAGGGAGTTTCTTACTGAACAAAAATGCAAAACAGGAGTGTATTAGAACTAGAATCAAGGACAAGATACAAAGGTGAAGATTATAAAAGCACTGTGTTAGCACAAAGGTTAGGCCGCTTTCAAAGGCTCGAGTCCAGTTGGAGGTAAGGCAAATGAAGAACACCAAGGGTAGAAAGAAGAGGTTCTACAAATATTGTAGTAGTCAACTACTCAGAGTAAATGCATGTCTGCAGCTGAATATGGGAGACAACTGGATGACAGATGATATTAAAAAAAGACTGAAATACTCAATGCCTTTTTGCCCAAGTCATCACATGCTCCCAACCCCAAAATACATTCTTGAAAAACAGCATGATTTGTGAAGAAGATGGAAGGAGTAAGAAACCAACAGGGCCAGATGCGTGTCTCTTCATTAATCTAGCCCAGAAATGCTCTCTAAACAGAGATACATCAATAACTCCTTACTTCAGCTTGCATAAATTGAAGTGTAGGTTATTGAGTAATCTAGTAATCAGATCTGAGGTATCCCTGGGAATGTAGATAATGAGAAACACACCAAGCGCAGACATGTGCCAGACTGTCCAGTGTCTGGAGAAGAGACAGACATATAGCAAAGTATTTGCAGCATTTGTAGCTGCTTAACCACAAGTCTCTTCTGTTCCTTGTAGTCTTTTGCTTATTCTTTCAAACGTTCCAAGTCCTGAAGTACGTAATGTAGGTCAAACACAAAGTATCCCCTGTACAGAATCCCTCACCTTTCCCACCTCATAGGGAGAAATACGGACAGAAAACTTGCTTCCCTAAAATTCCAGTGCTTCATTTGACAACTTTGTAACTTTTAAATCACACCAAAAGAACCCAGAAGACACTGAGATAAAACATAAAAATTAGGATAAAATTAAAATAAATCTCACACCAGCATGTGTAACAGTTGTCTGAAGAATGATGTTGAAATTGCTGTTCTGCAATACCTGCTACTACAGCTCGAGCTACAGCTAACCATGACTCCAGAAAAAAGTTTCTGTGAATTAAAAAATAGAAGAGAAGGTACAATATCAAAACCAGCAGGTTTTGAGGTACCTCATTTTGCAGACTCCATGAAACCAAGATAAAAGCTATGCTGACTCTTTTCACAAGGCAGGGAGATTAAATGAAAGCAATTTGAACCAGTTGTGTTGAAGAAAAGAGTAGAGCAAATTTGGTGTATTTCTGCTGGTTGCATCAGTACTGCTAAAAGCAAGTAAACACACAAGTATACCCCAAAGCAGCTGACCTTTGGTTTCCAAGACAACTGGCACAGATGGGCTTGGGACCACTCATTTAGTTTAGAATTGATTAGCCATAGCCACACTTCATGCTTGTCCCAGATTGCCTTTAATTCTTAGGTGGTACCCTTGTGATTCTAAACCTAATTTTTGACATTATAACTTCTTTTTTCAGCTTACGGTGGATGAAATAAAGGGAGGGTTGTACTGCAGCCTACCATGCGATGTTTTTATAGTATAATAATAAAAACAATAATACATGTTGCATACCCAGAAACATGGCACAAATATATAGTGCTATGGTTTATGATGTTTGGCCATTTTGAGGGCAGCTACTTTACTCTAATCCCCTGTAAGAAACTCTCTCAGGACCATGTCCTAGTTTGGCCATGGGTAACTAGCTGACTTGTTCCAAAACAGGACTGAAGAGTAATTTAGCATACACATTGTGTAGAGGTGAAGGAAGGCAGGCAGATTAAGGGCTTAGATTAAAAAAAAAATACTGTGCTTCAAATTTGTCTTTGACAACTGTCCACATCCTCATGCTATTCCAACAACAAATGATCAACTCAGATTAGCCTAAATACTCTGTAGATTTACCTAAATTTTTTACTGGTTGAGAGCTCATACTCCAGCATTACTAAGGTAACCTGTGCATCTGAATGTATGTCAGTGTGAATGCGTATTGCTGCAAATGATAGTGATTCTTTTTTCTGCATTATATATTGTTTATCAAATCAGTCCAACTTGAACACTCTCCTGGCATTTGCAAGGGGTGTTTCTTCCTTATTCCTAGGAAACATCAAGCCTTGCTACAAACAATGGTGGTATCAAAATATCTCAAAGGAAGCTCACAAGTACTTTTAAGATGTATTATACTGGGAAACAAATACAGAAAGTCTCATCTTTCTCTACATATTACAGACAGAAAATAAAACACATTTTCCTACCTTCATAAGATCAAGCATTACACCACTTAAAATTCCCAAGTATCTTCTCTCTAAAGACTGTGGATGATTGACTGCTGGAAACTGTAAAAATAATATAGCATAAATATACTGGCAATGTAAACAAGGTATACATGAATACGGTACTACAAAACCAGAAACTACATAATGAATCAAGGCATGTAATTAATGGGAATCATTGGCACTGAAAAAGTTACTGATTCATGAAACAATAAAATAACATTATAATGAAAACAAATAACTGTTCATGTATAACGTGCATTTGCTCAACCAAAGAAAGAATTCTTGATCAGCAGCGCAGTCAAGGAACCTCTCTCAAATAAGAAATAATCAATTTAGTTTTATAAATGTGTTTGTAGCATTACGATTAACAAAAGGTGGGAGGTTAGATTCAGAAATAACCTAAGTAATACATACTTTTAAAGATTAAAAATAGCTTTGAGAAAATTTGAGAGAGTAAATACAGTATTAAATAAATGCTAATGATTAACAGATATTTCCATCAAGGTTTGAGCGAAAAGTATCAAAACCCCAAAGGTTTAAGACTCAGGATTACTCCTGTGGTCGTGCTGCAGTAAGAACTGGCAACACCATGAGAAGTAGTACATGCTGCTGGAGGGCACCTTTTGTCAACTAGAGTCTGGACAAAACCTCATGAAGGCAGTATTTGACTCTAACCCTGTCTAGAAAGAACAGGAGAAGCACAAACCGTTTGAAGAAAGAAAAAATAAAGCACAGATTATTTAATTTTTTTTTGCTTGCTTTGTTAGCAAAGCAAAAGTAAAACAGACAGAATTTTTCTTCTTATCAAATGAAAGTTGCTATTTCACTGCTATAATGTACCATCAAGTACAATGTGCTGAAAAGAAACAGATAAAGATCCATTTCTTGACTGCATTGACCTGACAACAAACATCAGATAAACTCATTTCAGTGCTGTAAGTTAAAATTTAAAACCTAAACATATATGCCAGTGTTTCCAGAATTAGAAATTAAGGCTGGATTTCCAACAGAGGCATAAAAACCCTCATGGATCTAACTTATGCTGATTTTAGAGAAATACGCATTTGAATACCAGAGAAGACTGGAAAACAGACAAACCAAACCAGCAATCAGCCAGCCAATTGCATTAATCACCGTTTATCCATAGCTATGCAACTGAGATCCAGACTCTTTGTTAGCAGTTCAGAGAGTTGTGGAATTTGCCTAATACTATGAAAGTGTTTCAGTTGCAGCCTGGCTTGATCCCATCCACATCCTAAGTATTTTCTAAAAAGTCATCTTAAGCTAAGACATCAAAGCAAGAATACTGACAATAGGAAGGACATAGTGTTCTTGCCTACAGGTACAGGAAAGCCATCATTGTATGTTCAAATGGACTCAAGTCATACATAAAATATACCCACATAAAATACTGAGTTATGGTTAAAAATCACTGGAAATACAAGAAAGCAATAAAATTCAAGTCAGTGATTAAGACAAACACAACAAAACCAAAACATCCACAAAGATGAAGATAAAATTTTTACATGGGTGTTTGCTATGGTATTAAAACAGATGAGAACTATATGTTTGGTCTAAAAATGCCAATGAGCAGAGGTACTGAAGACTTTCATTCCTTTACTTTCACTTTTGCATTTTTCAGCTCTCGCATCTAGGGCTTGCCTATATTTACATGATCACCTTCCTCAGATTAAATATACCATCAAACCTACACTTTAAAGAGCAACCCAGAATTAACATTCATTTCCAAAAATGCATTTTATTTGGAAGTAAACTGCATTGCATGTGCACTGTATACATGTGTTAGACCACTATGAATTGCTGCCAATTGCTTGTACTAGCATTATTTTTCATAAATTACATTATGTGAGCTTTGAAGGAAAATGAAAGAACGTTAGTTTACATGTTTTTGTTCCTAAATATTCTCTATAATTCTCTGTAAGTCCTATAATTTTCTCTTTACTCTGCTTTCTTTTGAAATGGCTTGCTAATGATTGAGAATTTTTAAGTCCAAGTCTGCTGTGTTCATCTTAGATATCAATTTAGATGAATCATGGCTTCCATGCTTTCTCCACTTTTTATATGAACCAAATGGCAAAACATACTTGTTTTCATGAAGAATGACTATCATAAAGAAGATTTTACATCTGGAATGATCAAGGAAACATGAAAATGTGCCAAAGCCATGCAAAGCAGTAATAAGAGATGGCTATTCACTGGAATTGTTCAGATTCTCCAATTTATGATTTATTTGCAGAACAATATTTACAGCTCTACATTATCACTCACATTCCACAAAGGCATGAGCCTATTGGTACTTTATGATCCCATTTTATTTTATTTTCTTTAGGCATTCAACATTCCATGGATATTTCTCCCTCAGAAGGACTGAAAAGAGATTACTAATACCCCCTAAACCTCAGAACTGAGGAAAACTGTGTACATATATATATATTCTTGGAGGAAATGAGCAGAAAAGACAGAATGTAAATATAAATCTGTATACAAGTGCATGTGGTGCTGGAGTGTTCGTATTAGGATTTTAAAAATCCCATGCTATAGTATGGCAGTACTCACAGTTACAGTTATGTAGAAATTCACAAAACCTAAACATATGGATAAACAATTCCACAGCATGGCTAGCTTCAATCTTGTGAATACCCAGAGCCAGATCCAGCTTGTAAATAATAATTTGCATGATTACAGCTTACCCTCTATCTACTCTGCAATAGAAAATCTTCCACTGCTAAACATTATGCTACATTCAGAAAAATGTACTTTTAAGGTTGTCTTATAGCATGAATCCCATGATGTAACTATTGAATATCACATTCAGAAACAATTTTTTTCAGTATTTTCATCTTTAAGCCATTAATCAGATTTTACTTAAGTGTTTAAAAAATGCTTTTTATTAGAAGGCACATGTCACTGTCATCATCACTAGTATCCTGACTTTACAGATGGAGCTAAGAAGGCAGCAACACGTTTGAGGGCTAGTAATAAACCACTGATCCAGGATGAGAGCAGAGACTCGTAACTCTCAACCTTGTGTTAATCACGTTAAGTCCATGCTCTCTTCTTGAATTACTGTATTTTAAAGCTACAAAACAAAGATACTTCAATCTCATCCTAAGACATTACAGAGCATTTATCCAAATCAGATTACACTGCACAACTAAAACTGCTGTAAAACAGTTGAAGAAGCAGTAATTTATTTTGCTTACAACTTTTAAAGCACTGCTTTCCTGATAAGGGGTTATAAATTTTTTAAACAGGAAATCCTATCCAGTCCACTGTTCTAGACGGGATCAAATATAAATAGGAACTTGCGAGAAATGCTCATCTAGTAATTGTTTTAAACCCTTCACCAATGGAGATCTACAAACTTCAACAAAAACTCTTAGGAAATAGCTATCCTAATACCTAAATAATTATCATAACACCTTAACCCAAGTATTTATTTTCTTATCATCAACAGCTAAACCCAATCAATAACAACTTTTAAGACGCTTTAACACAACGAGGTCCCCTCTCTTTCCCTCTCATTCTCTAAATTTTCTCTTTTACAGGGTAAAACTCAAATCTTGAGTCTTTAGCACAGATTAGGTCTTCTACTCCTTTTTATGGGTTTTTACACTAATGATATCAGGCCATTTGTCAAGAACAAAGATTCACCTTTCTAAGCAACATTCATGAATAAAAAATGCCAACCAAAACTGAGTTATAAGGAAACATGAGTAACAATACCTGGTCAGTGATTGTAAAGATAACAAAGCTATTACTTATGTATATTGCTTCTGGGATTTTGCCATATTGCACATACCAGCTTGAGCAGCTTCTTCACACTAGTGTGTCTGTCATTACATGTTATTAGCAAATCCCTGGAAGGGGAACAATGCTAACATTAAGAAGAGCTTTTTTACTCATGTGGCTTACATCAACTCTCCACAACTATAAGTCAAAAGGCAAAATGGTCTTCTGCCAGCAGCATCTGTGGCTTAGATTATTCCAACACAGTAGCCTGAAGATAGCAGTCATGCATTTTCCATACCTTGAACTGACAGAGTTATGCCACTAAATTTCACATTTGCAGGGTAATGCTAAGCTGCGTATAAATGCTAACTTGCATGTCAAAAAAGTGAAAGAAATGAAAGAAAAATTTTTATTCAACTTTAAGCAGTAGAAATAACACATTTATAAACTCAGTACTGGTGTGATCAGAATTTTACTTTAAATTATGAATGCTTATAGTCTAAATATCCTATACGTACACAGAAACACATGCGATACATAATGCACAATGTAAATGAAAAGAACTTTCACAGCAAGAATGACAATACTGTCAATACTGTGTGAGTAAACAAAATAACAAAAAAAAGAACAAAGCTTTCTCTTACCCGCAAGCCATGGAAGCGTGGGTTGCTATAGAAGAGCTTCATCTGCTCGGCTGGCAGTGGGCCTAACACCTTCTGAATGGTAAAGAGTTGGTCAATCTCACTCTCACCAGGAAACAAGGGCTGCCCATCACTCAGCTCTCCCAGGATACAGCCTACAGACCACATATCCACAGCCTTTCCATAAGGGGCTCTGTAAAGCGAACACACAATGTCGTCTTTCACTAACTGACACTGTCTTCTTACTGAGCTGTTTCAATTTACAGGCCATATTTCCCATGGCCTGCTTCCTTACAACACAGAAAAAATAGACTTTCATATTAAAGAAACTACCTCAAATACCAAGCCCTCTGTTTCTGCCATGGATTGCCTGACATATCACTGCGTGAGTCAGCAGGAGCAGAATTCCCAAGTACCCCAAGCGATCTGGCTACCTTTGTGAAAAATCTTATGTACAGGAATAGTCTTCTGACTGTGAAGCAGTTACCATTCCCAGTTAAACTACCATTAACTTCTCTGCTCTCCAAGGGGTTAATGACTCTGCTCTATTTCTGCATTACATTTCTTTTTCCATTATGCTTAACAGGTGGATAGGCATCCTGGGTTTGGCCACTGTAAGAACAGAAATAACATAAAATCTTCATTGCAGCATTCACACAGTGGAATTTTTAATTAGAGAGAAAACAGAATGTCCCTGAAAACTATTTCTTAAAAAACACAGGTGAGGCAGCAGTGAAAGCATCATAAAATAGGTAATTCCTGTTTTGGAGCAAAATCACAGGAGGGGGTTTGGGGAGGAGTTCTGATGTGTAGTCTGCGTGCACAAGCAATGTTGTGTGGTAAGGAAGATGGTGCCTTGTATTCTAAACTACTAGTAACAAAAGATACCAGGTCAGCAATAAAGGTACTTAACAGAAGAGGCAACATGGATACTCTAGTCAGGAGAAACTATAGACTTGAAAATGGTTTGTAAGACATGTAGGACAAAATTGGAATGTAGAGAATGGAAGTTTGTGTGAAGAGAGTTGTAGACTTCTGTGACATTCCTTCTAAAGTCACAAACATTGAAGAAGTAGAGAATCACCGGACAGCAACTCTTCATCAGAGGCTGTAGCGACAGGACAAGGGGGAGTAAGTTTAAATTTGAACAGGGGAAGTTCAGGTTAGATACAAGGAAGAAGTTCGTTACTGTAGGGTGGTGAGGAACTGGAATGGGTTGCCCAAAGAAGTGGTAAATGCTCCATCCCTGGCAGTGTTCAAGGCCAGGTTGGACAGAGCCTTTGGTGATATGGTCTAGGGTGAGGTGTCCCTGCCCATGGCAAGGGGATTGGAACTAGATGATCTTAAGGTCCTTTCCAACCCTAACTATTCTATGATTCTATGACAGTTCATGATTTTCACTCTAAGATTCTGTTACTCGGCAAGTTTGTTTAGCTGCCTACCTCAACTGTACAACAGGTAATGCATTACATACTTGTGGTTGTTCATTGTTCCTACTACAGATTGATGCAACTCCTTTTCTGTATGCTTGAGTTCTTGCTTGTTGAATTTGTAAAAAATTTCGTAAACATCCAACTTATTCCAAGAATCTCTGTTGGATTTTTAGGTTTTGAGCAGAATGACTGGAGAACCCTTCTCATGTAAAAGAAAAAGCATATAAAAAGAATAAAGACTGGAACAAAGATTGAACTGAAACCATATCTCACTGTCTTTTTGAAACTTGTAATCCAACAACTCAACCTCTGTTTCAAGATATTTTTCAGTTACAGCTGGCTTGCCTATTTCTGGAATAAGACAGCACCAAGTGTTGGAGGTGACAAATCCTATGCTAAATCTGTTCCCTTTGCTCCTTCCTTATGATGTCCTTCAATAAATTCTTCCTGTCTAGTAAAAAGCTAGCATCATCCTTCTGAGCCTTTACCAGCACTTCAGCAGTGCTGGTAAAGGGTAACTGGAAATGAAAACCAAATTATAGTTTTGACTGAAAGGATGAAGAGGAGCGTAGTGTGGTGAAAGGTGCACTACCATTGCTATGTAACATCTATCACAAGGCTCATGGAATATCTTAAACTACAGGACTACCATGGAAACCTCTTATAAAGAGGATGGGCAGGCAGGAATCTGAACTACAACTGTTATAAATTCAGCTTTATATTTTAATCAGTTAAACAGTGCTCAGCTCAAGACAGATCAACATGTCAATGATTCATACTGACTTACTTGGAAACAGAAAAACTTAATGAAAATGTGAAAGCCTCTTGAAATATTCTCTTTAAATCAACAACAGCTCTCAACAGTGTAAATCTTACAAAAGGTGCTTGAAAAAAAAATATAAAGAATCAGTCAAGACTTATCATCATAGTTCTGCAAATTGTACTTACCCAAGCAAGAGTTCAGGTGAGCGGTACCATCTGGTAGCCACATATTCTGTATAGTTAGCATTGCTTCCTTCAGAGAGATTACGAGCAAAGCCTGTCAATGAAACAGTGTAAAAGATTATATCCTATTTTAAATACAACATGCTTAACACTGTGGATTTTGGCAGTTAAGAGATCACACCTATTTAGATAGAAGTGAATTGTTTACAACTCCTAGCAGAGAACAATTTCTGCAACAATTGCTTGTCTGTGGAATTGCAAGCTTTTATTGGTAAAACAGTGAAAGTGCGCGTGTCTGTTTTAATGACTACCTTATTTGTGTACTCTCCTCAGAAGTCTGTGGGGTTTTGCTATTACTTATGGTGCTTTGCCACAATCAAAACAGATCGATAAAAGTTACCTGTTAGTATGGCGTGCAAGTTATTGAACTATTGCCACTAAATGTCACCGAGATGCTGCTTGCAGAATTCATAACATTAGAAACAATGCTCTTCCAGTCATGGATCCTAACTATTACAGTCTCACTGCATTCAAATTTTTAAATTGGTCAAGAAACTATGTATTATTCTCATCTAAGGACACTCCCTCCCTGAGGGTGAGACTGACTGACCTGTAGTTTGGATGTGGTATTAAAACTTGGTCCAAAATTCCCTTCAGTGAAATCCCAATAAGTCTTTCCCTCATTGCATGAGTGATGAAGAAAGAATAAAAATTCCGAAGTGTTACAGAGGTATAGGGTATAATTTAATTTTCAGAGCCAGTAAGTGCTACTTCAATGCAAAATTCATTTTTCTTTATATCTGAGTTCTTACACAGAAGCTGCCAAAATCTTTTTTCCCTCACAAGTTTGGTTGTAAGGTTGCAATTTTTTTTTTATTTATTTATTTTTTAATTCTGAAAGTCTATCTCATTTGGCAGCTTTCTGTGAGGGAGCCCAGCCATTATTACTATTATAGTATTGATTTGAGAAAACAATGATAAATGTGTTAATGGCATAGGTTACAGCTGTTGTTTTTGTCAAGACAGCTCTATCTTCAAGAGTTAGCAAATTAAAATGCATGTATGATGAGGAACAGATATTTTAAAGTTGCCCCAAAATAATAACAATTCTGTTTTGTTCCCATGAAGTCTAATGAACATTACTGATACTGCTGGAGAGGAATTTTTTATTACTTGTAACACTGGGATTGAGTAAATTTCTAAACATTACTATATTTAGAACTGGTTAGGCAGCCCTGTTTCTGTTTCAAATTACATGACCTATCTGATTAATCTTGTCCATGAAAAATCTTTCATTCATGTATTTAAAGAAGAGAGAGAAGATAACCAGGAGCTACACTGAAGAACTGGGACTGCCAAAATGAACAGTGGGAAGCTCCAAACTGGAGGGCGGTAGGAAATAAGGAAAGGTGTGACATGATACAAATAAACTCATGTGCTAATATAACGCATGAGCCTGAAAGCCCACCACCTCATGTGCACCAGAAAAATTAACAAGTCCAGGATGCATCCTCCTCCCTCCTAGCCAGTTTATTGGAATCTTGTCACACTCCAGAAACCACCAGCAGCTAACATAGTCTGAAAAATCAGCCCTCAATTTTACAGGCTAGATTTGATGTGGCAAGACAAAGGAATATTACTGTCATGGGCTTCAGTGTTGGGTGATGGTAAGAAACCATTCTATGGATTCACTACTACACTGACTCTATGATACCATGCTGAAAGGTGATGGACAAGAGAATTCAAAAAGCATAATATTTTCTAAGGACTTTTTTGTCGTTGTTGTTGTTGTGGTGGAGTTAGGATATTGTTTCTTCTTCCAAACTGTGCTAAGGTATCAGGAACAATTTTTTGATACAAAATAAGAGAAGGTAACTACGGAGAAGATTAGACCCAACTCTAAACAGTGAGAAGGAACAGATTAGAAGATCAAGACAGAAGATTATTTGGGTGAGAGCAAGAATGAAAGCCATAGCACTTGCAAATAATGAATGATGATGTATTAAGAGAGAACAAGCAAGATAAGAATTTTCAAGGACAGACTTTAAACTACTCAGACCACAGTAAGAGAGATGTCAAGAAAAAGGTGTAAGGAAAAAAGGAGAAGACTGAATTTCTTACAGAGAAAATTCATAGAGAAAATGAGGTAAATTTAAATTTAGACATAAAGTAAAACATTCTAACACTTTAATGACATGTAAGTATTTTAATGTACTCAACATAAAAAGGACATGGAACTGTTGGAACAAGTCCAGAGGAGGGCCACGAGGATGATCAGGGGACTGGAGCACCTCCCGTATGAAGACAGGCTGAGGAAGTTGGGGCTGTTCAGCCTGGAGAAGAGAAGGCTGCGTGGAGACCTCCTAGCAGCCTTCCAGTACCTGAAGGGGGCCTATAGGGATGCTGGGGATGGACTCTTCATTAGGGACTGTAGTGACAGAACAAGGGGTAATGGGTTAAAACTTAAACAGGGGAAGTTTAGATTGGATCTAAGGAAGAAGTTCTTTCCTGTTAGGGTGGTGAGGCACTGGAATGGGTTGCCCAGGGAAGTTGTGAATGCTTCATCCCTGGTAGTGTTGAAGGCCAGGTTGGACAGAGCCTTGGGTGAGATGGTCTAGTGTGAGGTGTCCCTGCCCATGGCAGGGGGTTGGAACTAGGTGATCTTAAGGTCCTTTCTAACCCAAACCATTCTATGATTCTGTGATTCTAATAGATGCTTAGAAACACTAGGTAACCACCATTATTCTGAATTTCAAGAGAAAGCTAAGTGAACACCTGTCAAGAATGACACAGACATGCTTAGTCCTTTATTTGAGTAGGTGGAAGAACTAGAGAATTTCTTGAGGTCTTTTCCAGTCCTGTGTTTCATGATTTCTATGCTTACGCATCGGACAGAGATTAAGAGATTGCTAAAACAAGTATTTCTGAAACCATGGTATTGAAACAGCAAACGCATTAATCAGAAAACCTATTCCCAACAGTCAGATGCATCTGCTGTAATCGGCATTTTGTACTGTTTTCTTTTTTCCACTCCTATTGGCAGAAAGGACACCCACACAACATGTGTCCAGGCAAGCACCACATTCACTCTCATTTTTATCTAGCACAATATGTACAGAACACACTGCACAAAGATTATGAAGAACTATTTTGTTAAAAATTAATGAACTTTTCTATTCAGATTGTTTTGTCCAGTGTGCTATTCAGAAACCTCTAATTACTTCTATATACACATTGGGATGGATGCATAAACCTCTTCTTTGCGTCTGCTGTCGTATAAGGAATGTGGCACTGTATGTGACAAGTACTTGTGTTACAAAATAAGAATTAAGTTAGGTACACAGACATTTTATAAAGTGAATTCTTATCTCCTAATCTGTACATGTTCAGGAAACACTTGTGGCTAATATTGTTCTGACAGACATTTTACAGTAATAGCTTGAGCTACCAGCAATAATGTCAATTAGCCATGAGACTAAAAAATTAAAACTGATTCCAAATTATAAGAGTTACTTGGAAATTTAAATTCAACTAAATCGAAAATATTGATCAAAATTCACACTAACACGTGTAAACAGTAAGAAAAACAGAAATTCCCACAATTTAGTCTTCTTTCCCTGAGACTGTGCTGAGCACCATGAGTACATTCTGATTGCATGTATTTTCCAACAGCAGAAGGAAAATATGGCTGTAGCATACAGCATGAGCAAAGCAATGGACCACAAATGTCACTGCTAGTAGAATTCACATCATCTAGTGAGAAAACTGATATCCAGGACACAATTGTACCATTTGTTCAGCTTTATATTTTCCTGTAATACTGTTGCACAGAGGATGTTGACATGAGTTCACACTAACGGTGAATGTTACTTGAGGGAGGGAGGGCAAGGGCCAGGGAAGGCTCTTTCATATGGACAGGGAAGGAGCTGAGGCTGAACAGTTCCCATGAGGACCTCATTGGGTGTTCTTGCTTGTGATGCCGTTAGCTCTGATTGGAGCAGACATTGGTCAAGGGCAGGTGTTGCCTGCTGATTGGTTGTTAAACTCTGTGAAAGGCAGTGATTGGGTCCTGTGCTCACTAACTGCGCAAAGCTAGCGCAGAGAGGAAGCAAGGTGTATGCTACACCAGCCCGAGTGGGAGAGCCTCAACTTGCCAACCCCAGAGGGGTTTCCTTTGCAAGGGGGGGCAAGGCCCTGAAAATGAGTGTAGGGTAAGAGAAAAATCCTGCCCACCTGCTCTGTGCAATGGTGCCAGGGTAGCCTGGGCATAGAGCTGCCAGGGAAGGGTGGCCACAGCACTGCCGACAGGAGGTCTGTTGATACCAAAAGACAAAGGCACCACCAGACAGGATGTCTCTCGATACCAAAAAGACAAAGGCACCAAAAAGGCAAAGGTACTGAGGGCACCACACACTCTACCATGGTGCTCTGTCAGAGCTGTGAAGTTCCTTAAAATGCAGAATAAATTGCCCTTAATTCAAAGTACTCACACAGACAAAATCTTCTGAGGGTTTTCCTAGAATGTTTATTGTTTCAGAATGCTTAACCAAAAATGCTTTCAGGATTAAAAGAAATAAGCAGCACTGCAAATGAAAAATGCCTTTTTTGTGCTCCTAAAAAACCTGTTTCAATCTTTTTTCCTTTTCTTTTTTTTTTTTGCAGTTCTTCTTTTCATTCAAAATTGCAGAGGTTTGAAATGACAGCTTACAAACCACTCATGAAAAGTGCCCTTGGGTAGCACTATGGAATGTTTTTTTTTTTTATTTACCAAGCCAAATTGTAAGCTTTTTAGAGGGAAAAATACTTTGTTCTGTGTTTATGTAGCACTCAGAATAAAAATAGATTGTTGGAACAGCGTACACTCTGCTCTGCTGTCTTCTGGGGATTACTCACATGGGCAAAGTTCGCCTTGTGCTTGTGTGCTGATTCTTCAAAGCCATAAATCTGACATTAAACAGGTAGTTATAGGTCAGGAAACACCAGAGTTAACGTTACATACACAACTCTAACTCTAAGCTCCAACCATTCAATCATTAATCATATGTGGACATGCTATTCTTTCATTAATGTAACCACAAATTTTTACCCATAACTACACACATAACAGTCCTTGAAAGCCAGTGGTTGAAAAAACAAAACCTGCAAATTTACTGTATCTTTACTAAACAAGGAAAAATTATCTTTTAAATATACCGGACAGATACACATACAGTTTTGGTAGCCTCCTAATCAGCTTGTCATTTGCATTTTTTTCAGCTGGGTGCCAGAAACACTGCTAGTAAAAGCCTTGTCAAATTTAAGAAAAGATAAATGCAGCATTTCTATCTGCATTTTAATACAGGTGTTTAACAGGGCATGAAAATTAGGCCCACAGGTCTTTTGAATTAAAGAACTAGCCACCAACCTGAAGAAGCAACCAATTCTGACCACTAAAAAGGTTTTAAACTGTACATATTTATGTACATACATAGAACTCCTATGAGGATAAGGCAAAACTCCATTGCAAGAGATTTTCTTTAAAGAGGTTAAGAAGCAAGTATCTATTGAACTTACCAAAGTCACACAACTTCAGCACATCATTGTGGCTTATTAAGAGATTCTCTGGCTTGATATCTGGAGTATCAGAGTGGGACGAAAAAAGAAAAAAAAAGCCATTAACTTCTCTTTTTAATTTTGAACTTTGTCAACAAATATTATTTCATTATAATGTATTTAGAGTTATTCATGCAATCATAAATGAAGCATTACAAGAGCAACTGCTGAAACAGCTTCCAGCTATTCAGTTTGTGAACATGCAGAATTAATTTTCTTCCTTTGAAGTCTTTTTAACTGTTTCCCAACAAAATATTGGAAGATAAAAGGTGCTTACAGATATTCCTGGGCAGCAAACCAATATACAGAATACTGCATATTGCAAAATACTACAAAGAACTGACATTTAATCACCCACTTAACCAATCAAACACGTGCTGTGCTCAACATTTTCAGTTATGATGATCTTGATCATCTCTTGTCCGTTGTTTACAAAAATGCACTGTCTAGCTTTAAGCCCCCCCCCCCTTTTTTTTTATTCCTGTATGGATATTGTGGTATTCATTTATGCTGTATTTTTCCAGTATATTTTACAAAACATTTTCAGACTCTTGCTTATGCTTGATCAGTCTCAAATATAAATAGCATATTGTATGGGAAATTTAATTTATTGGAAACATGAATTAGAAATGTTACTCTTGGAAGGCCACAAAGCAAATACAATTTTATTAAATAAACCACATAAAACTAGATAAAGTCACACATCAAGATATGTACACTCTAAGTGCTTGAAGCTTAGAGGAGAAAGTAAATATACACAGCTGAACTCATGGAAACTGGGAGGAACTGCCTTAAGAAGTAAAACACAGGGTGGACCAAGCTTTTAAGTTTTGGGTTATTTTCCTCCTAATATTCTACTATCACATTCAAAAGTGAAATGACTAAGCATCATGAAATGTTTAAAAAAATTCCTATTCCTTTGGTAATGTCGGTACTGCAGTTTTACTTCACTGTGCATATGATAAAACATTTATACCATATCCTAAAGACTGGACAGCAAGCTTTACATGTAGATGAACTGAGTTTTAAAATGATCTGAAGTCATGCAACAGACTTAAGAGCCAGCCAAATTTACAGCGCTTTTTTTTCTGTTGATATAAAGCAATTGCTTATATTTACGTCAAATGCAAATTACATCAAGCTGTAACATCTTTCCCTTTAGAAAGCAAATTCCTACCTAGGCTTGTTTCTATGCAGAGAACTACACACTTACCTCTATGAACAATATCATTCTTATGGCACCAATGAATTGCTTTAATTAGCTGGTAGATATAGCTTTTCACTTTTTCTGGTGGAACTCCATTTGGCATTTCTTCTAGCAATTCAAGCATATTCTAAATGTTAAAAACACACATTATTTAATATGAAGTTGCACGCTAGTTGCTAGAAAATAGCATACTTTCAGCATTATGATGCAACGTACTTAGGCCACTGAACCTGGCTGTGCAAAAATCAATAGTTACACACTAAAGGAGTGTATTTTAATCGTAAGCATACTACTACCTGATCTCATTCTAGAGAAAGCACTTGTGAAGACAATAATCCTTAAAGGTGAACCACAACTATAACACAAGTCCTTAAAGGACCACTCATGCTAAAATTTCTAAAAAGTCCTCTTTGTTACAAAAATTTGCTCAAACAGAACCACCAGGACGGTGTGGTTATATGAAAATTTTAGTGGAGCACAGAATTTTGTAAATATCCAATGGTGCTTTAATACACTTTTCTTCATTGTGAAGCTAGTTTACTGCATTGACCGGGCCATGATTAATCACAAACCATGTCTGTACGTGAATGGGTATAGTTAAAGCAACACAAGCCTTTTAGTGAAAATGAAGTAACAGATATAAAACATCTCATAGGTGCAAAAATAGAAACCTAGGCCATATCCTGTAGCTATGTAACAGCAATACTAATCTTAGACATATTTGCACTACACTAGCTATGGCCATATTAACTGTTTTATGATAAACCTAGGGAAGCAAATAGATTGATTGCTGATACTAATAAATTTCCTCTTTGAAAAAGGACACTTAGATTCCCATTATGCTAGCAAATGCCTCCAATTCTGCACAAGTATAAGTACAGGGTATCTTTCACTCTGAATCCTGAATGAATAACAAGCAGCAGCAGCCCACTTGAAAAGAGGAAAATCTTATTTACTGCACACCGAAATACAGGTAAGTATTTTGGCTATGCTGCCGTACACAACTAATTTAATTATGGATTTGAGCATCTGTAGATTTTTCATTTAAAATATATTTACCTTGTCTTTGACAAACATTTTCTTTAGCTGTAGAGTACATTCTTTTGAGGTTTCTCTTGCAAAATATTTTAACAAACCCACATATATGACAAAACAAATGGAGACTTACAATATTTGGGAAAAAAAAAAAAAACCACAAAAAAACAATCAAAAAACCCCACCACCTCTAAGTTTTAAAATCTGTGAACAAATACGGGAACACGTGCTCAAGCATAAATTTCCTTAGAAATACATTTCAGATCTGAGTAAAAAAAAAATCTGTTTAGGAATCACATTGATTTTAGTTAGACTCTTGTCCACATAGAGCCTGTGGATCTGGATAAGTAAGTCAAGAAGTTAGTGTTACAAACAGGAACCAAAATAGTAGCATCATGGCAAGACATAATCCTATATAAAGACATTAACTAAGGAGATGATGAATAAAGGAGATTAGAATAAAGGTGAATTTAAGTAATCTGGATTTGAGTTTTGCAGAGCTAAGATTCCCTAAAGGACACAAGGTGCTCATCACCAGCTAAAATAAAAATTAGCTTACTATAGCACATTTTATTTAATTTCTCCTACTCTCCCCTCATCCAAAAATACAGAAATCATCCAGGTCTTCAAAGAAACTATTTGACATATCTGAAAATGAGAAATGTTCATGGACGGTGATGTTTAAGTGAAAACAAATGCAACCATTACATGAGGCACAGACTATACATGATTTCCACCTTTATCATTATTTTATTCTGATGCAAATAATGTTAAGATATTGCAGCCTGCTGTTCTTACCAATATTAACTATATTTGAAGTAAACTCTTTATCTGATCAATTCAATGTCTTTTACTTATTCTGGTCTTCCAACCCACCGCTATGGACAGCTTAGACAAGTCAACTATAATAGAAAATTAAATGCATGTTCTAAATTGGTGTGTGATGAAAGACGTTCCACGTGTCTGGAATAGTTACAAGGAACACAGGTAGAACAAGCCAAGTTTTGGATGTTAGAGCTACGATCCACCACATCAGAAGGTGCTGAGCTGCTGGTAAAAAACAAAACTGATTTCAGCCAAACTGTGGGCTAATACTGGTCTCCGCACATTATGCAATAAAGTTGTATCACATAATAAATTGAGAATTGCATAAAGGAGACACAGTATTTAGGGTGAAGAATCTTTAAACAAGAAAGAATTGACTGAAGAGGACTAGCGCTCGGCTAAACTGAAACATCACACTGGCAGATATTAAATGAAAATTTCAGTCAAGGGAGCAATATCTTATGAAAGATACAGAGACCCATATATTTAAGTTTGTGCTTATTTTTACTGTGTGTATCTGAATATCGTCTGTTTCTTTCCATGAAGAAATGTTAATTGCTTAGAATACAGAGGGAAGGCCTGCCTTCGTCACAAAAGTTGCAAAAATAAAAAAAAAAAAACAAACAACAACAACAAAAAAAAACACCACCCCCCCCCCAAAAAAAAAAAACAACGACAAAAATAACAACTACAAAAAACCAACAAACCAATCTGTTCTAGGTTGTTTCTCCCTGGAAACAGACAAGGGTGTCTGGTAGTAGGCCAATCGAAGGAAATTTTGGAATTGCTTCAAATGAGGTCAGGATTGGAGATAATGACAGTAATCTTTGCCAAATCCCTCTAAGCAACTATTGATAGTGGCCTTGTTACAGAAACACACACAAGTCTTATTTTTAACAGGGAAAGGTAGAGAAAGTTGAAACAGATTCCAAGGTCGAAAGTCTATGATCTTGCTTTGAAAGACTACATCAAGATTCATTACACAACATAACGCAGGACAGTTAATCAGCTTTACAATTAAACAGGACTAAATAGTTTGGATAGGTATTTTTTTTCATGTGATATATATTCCAGTCTACATAATTTGAACATGTTTACTTTCATACATGCAAGAACATTTTTTTTATCTGAACACATGAAGTGAAAACAATAGTAAAGTTATCAGTGTCGCTTTCTCACATAAACGTCTAATTGCAGCAATTCAGATTGTATTAAAGTTTCTGCTGCTCCTTTTACAGATTAGAATAGCTTAATTTTTAAAAGTAATTTTAAAGACTTTTCCAGCAAACTGACGATATAACTGTGGCAAGGACAGTAAAACCCAACTCACTTTTTCCACATATTCAAAAACTAAGTATAATTTTCCTCTTCTTCTGAAGGCTTCCTTCAGCTCCACTATGTTCTCCTGCTTCAAAGTGCGAAGCATTTTAAGCTCTCGTAAAGTGGTTTCTTTGACTTCTTCATTTTCTAGAGTGCAAAGTAAAAGTGACACAGTAAAACTTACTAAAAAACAAAACAAAATCCCAAGTAACAAGTGTTACAAAACTTCATTTTGAACCCCGGTTCTGTTTCTAGATACTACAGAGAAAAAGGCTGATTTTCTAGAATGACGTCTGCTGCCTGGATGCTTCTGCACTGAAAGAGAGGTAACTGGTGACTGCTGTCACTATACAACTCTCACAGACTTCCCATCACTACATTCTAGGTTTTCAGTGGCAGAAAATGTTGTAAGAAACAAATAATTTGCATTTCTATCTTTTTCATTATGAAGAGCACTAAAATGCTTCAAAAATATGCATGTATGTGTACAGACATCTTCTACCCCACAAACATGTCACACACATTAAGCACTGGCAAGGTTAGGATGTCCTCAGCAGAAACACTGGAATGTAAAGCTCATGTTTGAACAATGTCAAAGAAATATATTTGAGTCTGAAAACCTTTCTCCAAAAGCCATGAGAAACTTAAAGATCAAAGCATAGATTTGTAAGTCCTGCAAGTTTCCCCATGAGGCTTTTGATGGAAATTAAGCAATGCAAGCCACTGTAGCAGCCACAGAGAGCGGCAGAGCAAGCACTGACTCAACAAAGCCTTGAATCTGATTCTGAGGAGTCAAGAAATTTAGCTATTGTTTTGATAATCTAGTCTGAACACTGTTCAAGAGGAGTGGTTTACCTAAAGCTTTGTACACTGCCTATTATCAAGGCCTCTGAACTTACTGGGCTCTAAAGGATGCTACCAATAAAATATCAAGTAAATCAGATTATATTAGGTTTTATTTTTAATTTCACAAAATGAAATCCATTAATTCAGTAAATTTGCCCATACACATGTAAAAGCAGGCTTCTTAATCTCTTAGATCTGTTATCCACAACAGAGGGATATTAAATAGGATATGATTGCATAAATTCAAAGCTAAATAATATTTGCAGATCAGGTACCACAAAGACAGAGACAGAGAAAGAAGAAACAAGGAACAGAAATTGTTTTTCCAAGCAAGTAGAATGCAAAACCAGGTTTGCAATGGAGAGAGAATAACAGAGGTCATACAAATGCATATAATCATCATCAGAAGAGAGAGAGGGAAAAAAAAAAAAGTGACATGTAGCAGGGGGGAAAGAAAACAAAATAATATCACCACAAATGTTTTGATTAAAAGTATATAATTTAGGACAATCTAAATCATTTTATTTTAAGACTGAGTGCTTGTTGTTGGCTTGCATCAGCTTGATTACATAATATCATATATAACTAGAGACACCGTTTTCCAGAGCATTTAGCACGCCTATGTCAGACAGCAGCAAAAATTCAGTGACATAAAAATGGCAATAGAAACAGTTACATTATATTCAGATTTCTAATGAACTACTATATTGACAAGACAGATGTAAAATCGGCTGAATCAAATCCATCAAAAGAACTATCATATTTCCAGAAACTTGTAAACAACTACCTACCACTCTGAAGAGCATTCATCAGTCATGTTAACTAGTATTATGTAATACTCTTGGATAGCTCCTAATGGCAATGCTGCATTTTTCATTTTCATTTTCTGGTAGATAGTCTAATAAAATAATCCTTATTAGGGCTTAATATTGAGATTCATTGCCTAGGATCTATACTAAATAGCCATATTGAGTTCCAAAAAGCAATTCTGAAGTACTCACATGAGCTGGTCAAAAGGGTCACCACAATTAATTGAACATCTACACTCTTTGGCAGGGATTTAAAAAAGATTTCTGACTAGCGGAGCTAAAGATTTCATCAAATGCACTCTTCAAGCGTCTGGCAAAATCAGCTGCAAAGCATAGAGTTTGCACTGCATAAATCAACAGGTACAAATCGAACTTTGCTGTGTCTAACTGACTCTGAAATTTACAGTCCTTGTAACCAACCATACCTCCATGGCCAACAGCAATCCTATAACAATAAGAAAAAATAAAGGTTTGCTAAAATAAAGTGACTGCTGTTTCCTTAAACCACATCACTAGCTTTCAGCTAAAGCCTTGGTATATGGCAAATCATAGCTGCATTGCCTTAGACTGGGATGAATCCTCATATTACTTCATACTTGGCTTCTCTTTCTGTTTTTGCTAGGCCATTAGGGATCAGGATTAACTTCTGCTGTATGCAAGGTAGGCAGTTGCTTTCATGGGTGATTGCCGATTTTGCCTATGATAGGATACTAGGATTTACTGTCCTCTAAAATGCTCAGGTTAGAGAGCCAGTATTGCCGTATACAAATCTTTGGGTTTATTATTGCTGCTGAGGAATAAGTGTGTGCAGCCCTGAAATAATTTCTATGTGTCCTGCTTTGTGCCATCCACTTTGCCAACAACAGTAAGCCTTGCAGGAGATGGCTCTTCCCCACTCTCAGCAAACTCAGCAATAGTGAAGGGTTTACAGAAGGTGCTGTGAGGGAGTAAAGAGCAAATTTCCTGTGAAAAGTACAATCTGCTGAAGGCAGGACAGAGCCTCTGCCTCACCACCCAGCTCCCTCATATCTTCCCACAGATTCCTGAGAGCTCCCTGATTCCAATTTATGCCGCTGAACTTCTCAGTGACTTCTCTCAGTCTCCTTCATTTACCCCCTCAATTTCCCCTAATATTTAGGTCCCTTCCCATGGAGGAAGGGTGATAAAGCCCAAAGACTCTGCAAGCCCTACGACAAGGGTTTTTTGCCATTTTCTGATCACATCCACTCTCCAAGTGGTAGATCTTACTACTGTGTATGACACTGCAATCTCAGCCATATTAAGATAGACGGATCAAGAAAGAAAGGTAGTTATCTAGTTGGAGTGTGCAATGCAGTCCCCTGGCAGGTATGAAGGGTCAAGTGCCTTGAATAGTCACAGAGCTAATAAATTATTATCATCTTTAAATCACGTCTTGATATATGAGACTTCTTATTTTAACTGGAGAGATATTAACAATGTAGTTATCTTCATGAAAGATGAGGCAGCAGAAAAGGTTACCTTCGCTGTCTTTGAATTTCTTGATAGCCACAATTTCATGTGTCTCCTGTAAAACAAAAGCAAAGAAAGAGAAATGAGCAAGATTTGCTGTTTTCTCTTGCTTGTTGTTTTTTTTTTTTTGTTCCCTGAGCATCTGACAAAGGGAAAAAAAAAAAAAAAAGCATCCAGAGAAATTTCACAATGTGAAACAAAATGAATTAAAAATCTGGTAAATACCTCACTGATCAGGCCAAATGCAATGCAAAACCACATGTTGCAGATACGTCACAATTAGGAACCCCATTGTGAAAAAAACAAAGTGAAAACCAAAAAATCATATCTGCCTTGTACCAGATATCAATTAAATTTTCAAAAGAGTTGTTCCTCTGACTCTTGTTGCTTAGTTGTTCTGAAATACTGATGATGGACAATGCTTCATCTGACCAAAGTATGAATGTGGGTGCTTACCTCTAGGAGCTGAAGTGAAAGTACTGTACTAATGCTTACAACGAGACCTGTAATTTTGGTTGCCAAAAGTTTTGGGGTTTCAAAGTTCAAATATCCACAAAGAACATGATTTTAGGAAAGCAAAGTCTCTGTGCCTTCTTAAAAAAAAAAAGCTGCTGTCTTAAGGGAAGCCTACCCAGAATCACTAATTGTGTTTGAAAGTGTTAATCTGCGCTTACTTTGTGGTCACACGTGGTAACTTCTAAATGCCTGCCTGCCTTTGCATTCCTCTAGTATTCTCCATTCTCACCAAACCTCATCACCATAGGTCACATTTTTCTCTTCTGTGAGCAGAAAAAATATATTTAGCACATGGCCAAAATATAGCCAACATGACATGACTAGTGCAGGTCTGTTCATACAATGATGCAGCACCTGAATTTTAGTTATGTGGTGGGGAAGAAGCTTTAAGGTCACAAAGTAAGGCTGTGTGAGCAGACAGGCAGTAGGATATCTGGGTTACTTGTCAAGCTGGATCAGGCTTACACATCTGTTCCAAACATCACAGCTAAAAACCCCTCCAACCAACAATATCCCCCCATTAATAGCATACAAAGTCTGGATTGGAGAACAGCAATAAAAAAGCAAAACCTTTCTGGAATACCTGAAGGCATGTGTGTAACCAAGTACTGAATAACACAATAATTTACTCCATTTTTCATTTCAAATCATCATAACACATGAAACACCTGATCCCATTTAAAAGCAAAGCATTTGGAAAGACTTGGAAAGCAGATAGTGAATAACGCCTTTTAAGGCCTTTAAATGAAAATCAATACTACTATGAACAAAAATTAAAAATCAATAAAACTGAGTTTGCAAACAAATGTAAGAATATATATGTGTGTGTAGTTTGCACATTTAAAAAAAAATCCTTTTATCATAACTCATAACACCTATGAGAAGAACTTAGAAGCGTTACGTTGTTTTTCTGCCACTAAAAACTACCTATCATATACACTGGTCTAATCTGAAGGCTGGTAGATTGTATAAATTCAGCTGAGATAATACAAACCTCGAAGCATCACCATTTGCTCAACCAATTTACAGAACAGCAATGAAAGGGATGTCAGAACTGAGGAGATAATATGCTTTTAGGTTCAGAGTGATTTTGAAATGCTTGCCTACACCTTTTATGTCAAATATAGTTCCTAAAGATTTTTGTTTTGGGAAGCTTACAAACGGAGTGGTCTAAACTAAACTGAACAGACTGTTCAAGGATGACAGGAAGGGATTCTATAGGTAAGTAGCGAATAAAAAACAGACTAGCGACAATGTAGGCCCACTCTGGAAGCTACTGGGAGAACTGGCTACCCTGGATTTGGAGAAGGCTGAGGTTCTCAATTACTTCTTTGCCTCAGTCTTCCCTGGCAAAGGCTCTGACCACACCACCCAAGTCTTGGAAGGCAGATGCAGGGACTGTGAGAATGAAGACCTTGGGCCCACTGTAGGAGAGGATTCGGTTCGAGACCATCTTAAGGACCTGAACGTGCACAAGTCTATGGGACCTGATGAAATCCATCTGTGGGTCCTGAAGTAGCTGGTGAATGAAGTTGCTAAGCCACTGTCCATCATATTTGAAAAATCATGGCAGTCAGGTGAAGTTCCCATTGACTGGAGAAAGGGAAATATAACCCCCATTTTCAAGAAGGGGAAAATGGATGACCCAGGGAATTACACACCAGTCAGTCTCACCTCTGTGCCTGGCAAAATCTTGGAGCAGATTCTCCTGGAAGGCATGCTAAGGCACATGAAAATCAACAAGGTGCTTGGTGACAGCCAGCATGGCTTCACTAAGAGGAAATCCTGGCCTTCTATGATGGGGCTACGGAACTGATGGACAGGGGTAGAGCAGTTGATGTCATCTACCTGGACTTGTGCAAAGCGTTTGCCACATCCTTGTCTCTAAATTGGAGAGACATCAATTTGATGGATGGACCACTCGGTGGATAAAGAACTGGCTGGATGGCCGCACACAAAGAGTTGTCATCAATGGCTCAATGTCCGGCTGGAGACCAGTAATGAGTGGTGTCCCTCAGGGACTGGTGTTGGGACTGGTCTTGTTCAACACCTTTGTCGGTGACATGGACAGTGGGATTGAGTGCACCCTCAGCAAGTTTGCTGATGACACCAAGCTGTGTGGTTCGGTTGATACCCTGGAGGAAAAGAATGCCATCCAGAGGAACCTTGACACGCTTGTGAGGTGGGCTGATGCCAACCTCATGAAGTTTAACCATGCCAAGTGCAAGGTCCTACACCTGGGTCGGAGCAATCCCAGGCACAGCTACAGGTTGGACAAAGCAGAGATTCAGAGAAGCCCTGTGCAGAAGGACTTGGGGGTGTTGGTTGATAAAAAATGAACATGAGCCGGCTTCAATGTGTGCTTGCAGCCCAGAAAGCCAACTGTATCCTGGGCTGCATCAAAAGGAGCGTGACCAGCAGGTTCAAGGAGGTGATCCTGCCCCTCTACTCTGCTCTTGTGAGACCTCACTTCGAGTATTGTGTGCAGTTCTCGTGTCCTCAACATAAAAAGGACATGGAACTGTTGGAACAAGTCCAGAGGAGGACCACGAGGATAATCAGGGGACTGGAGCACTTCCCGTATGAAGATAGGCTGAGAAAGTTGGGGCTGTTCAGCCTGGAGAAGAGAAGGCTGCGTGGAGACCTCATAGCAGCCTTCCAGTATCTGAAGGGGGCCTATGAGGATGCTGGGGAGGGACTCTTCATTAGAGACTGTAGTGACAGAACAAGGGGTAATGGGTTAAAACTTAAACAGGGGAAGTTTAGATGGGATCTAAGGAAGAAGTTCTTTCCTGTTAGGATGGTGAGGCACTGGAATGGGTTGCCCAGGGAGGTTGTGAATGCTCCATCCCTGGCGGTGTTCAAGGCCAGGTTGGACGAAGACTTGGGTGACATGGTTTAGTGTGAGGTGTCCCTGCCCATGGCAGGGGGTTGGAACTAGATGATCTTAAGGTCCTTTCCAACCCTAACTATTCTATGATTCTATTTTACTAATTATAGTAAAAGTTCAAGGTCCTGCACCTGGGTCAGGTCAATGCCAAGCACAAATACAGGCTGGGCAGAGAACAGGTTCAGAGCAGCCCTGTGGAGAATGACTTGGGAGTGTTCATTGATGAGAAGCTCAACATGAGCCAGTAGTGTGCTCTTGCATCCCAGAAAGCCAACCATATCCTGGGCTACGTCAAGAGAAGTGTGACCAGCAGTTCGAGGGATGTGATTCTCTCCCTCTGCTCTGCTCTCATGAGACCTTACTTGGAGTACTGCATTCAGCTCTGGGGCCCCCAATACAAGAGGGATACGGGGCCCCCAACACAAGAGGGATACAGACCTACTTGAGCAGGTCCAGAGGAGGCCACAAGGATGGCCTGAGGGCTGAAGCACCTCTGCTATGAAGGCAGGCGGAAAGACCTGGGGTTGTTCAGCCTGGAGAAGACAAGGTTCCAGGTAGACCTTGGAGCAGCCCAGTATCTAAAGAGGGCTTACAAGAAATCCGGGGAGGGACTTCTTACATGGGTGATAGGACAAATGGTAATGGCTTTAAGCTGAAATAGGGTAGACTTAGATATTAGGAAAATATTCTTTACTATGAAGGCTGCAAGGTCCTGGAACAGGTTGTCCAGGGAAGTTACAAATGCCTTATCCCTGGAAGCATTCAAGGACAGGCTGGATGGGGCTTTGATCAGCCTGGTCTAGTGGAAGGTGCCCCTGTTCATGGCAGAAAATTGGAACTGGGTGGTCCTTAAGGTCCCTTCCAACTCAAACCATTCTATGATTCTATGATATTGTTACTAATAAGTTATTATAATTATTAACTCTAACGATAGTAATGATAGCAATAGTCACTAGCACTATGAAAGAACAGTGCTAAGAGGGTAGTAAATTTAGCTTATTTGACTTCTGGTATCTAGTGTTAGGTGCTTTGGCTAATTAAGCTTTTGAAAGGTTTTTCAGAAAAGGAACACAGCAATTCCCCTCAAAAGCCTCTGCTAACTGTAATATGCCTATGTTTAGACAGCATGCACAATACCAGTTTGCAGATGAGCTGAAGTTATCCATTAGCTTTACATTCTTATTTCACATGAAGAAAAAGAAAAATCTGTAGATGTTTCAGCAACCATCAAAAGGTTGTATTTTCAATCTCAAAGTAATGGCTAAGTACACTGAAAGAAATGTAGCAGTTAAGAGCTGTTGCCTCACACAGAGAGCAATTCTGTACCATTCAAGAAATGCAGTTCATGTGGCTTTTCTGCCATATGCTGCTGTCCCTGGTGTGTACAGTGAATGTGACTGCTTTGGAAATTAAATTTTAAAGTCTCTTGGGTCACAGTCTTGGAAAGACGGATATAAGATACGCTATCAAATGTCCTATAGAATTTTGAATGAATGTAGTATTTAAAACACAAATGTCTCTATGAAGAATAGGAACAGAAAGACTTTACCAACACACATGGAAGAAAAGGTTACCCAAAGAGTTCACTTGCATTTCCTCATTAAAATAATTAATGGTGTCATAATTAAGCAACCAAGAATTTATACATG